AGAAAAACCTCGTCTAGTTTCACAAATTGTTATATTAAACGGATATTATTTATTTGCACAACTCGGTAAAGATGAATTCATTGGTTCGTCGGTTTTGAGCTTAAACTATTCAAAGTCAAACTATTTTTTCTCTTGATGGTTCATTCATTAGTCTGAAAAAAGCTGAGTTTTTTTTTCATATACATTTATTACTTCTTTAACAAGAATAATATGTAATTGCAGTAGTCCATTTTTTGTACATTATTTTGTACATCTGTATTCTATACATTTTTTCTATGTGCTATTAACTGGATTCTACTGTAAATAATATATGAAAAAATATACATTATTATTATGTATTCAAATCTATTTCATCAATTATTAAAAAAAAAAACATTATAAAATACAAGACAAAAAATATTAAAAGCTCTTAGTAATAACCTTAAAAATTCATATTCTTTAATAAGTAGGAATTTCATATAGAAATACGCTAGAAAAAATCTACATATTAATATTATATCCATTCAACCAAAATTTAGATATTTTAGTAGCTATACACACGTATAGAAAGCTTAAGATTTTTTTTTTTTTGTTTAAATTAAAATTTTTGATATTGTTATAATTTTATAATATTAAATTGAATTTTACGTGGCTATCTATTCAGTTATCTTGAAATAGGTTCTCTTACAATGTGATACACTACATACATGTGTATATAAGTATATAAATGCACATTTTAACATACAAATTGTTATATACATATTTACATAGTTTGGTATAAATTGTAAGTGATTTTGTTTAGTTTTTTTTCGAGTGCAAAGTTCTCATATATTAAATCGGGAATTGTTTAAAAAAAAAAAATTAATTACTTACAAAAAAAAAAAGTAGGAAAACAAAAAAAAAAACAAACTATCAAAATAATCACTATCGATGCGTTCATACTTTGCGTATTCAAAATTATTTTAAAGGTTTCCGCGCGTTCTTTCCATTTTGTTTTTATAATGAAAATTCAATATGGTTATTTGAGCGGGGAACTGTTTTTAGTTATTTTATACCTATATTTTGCTTATTCACATGGCTTTGTTTTTACACACATAACTGTAAATTATATTATGATTTAATTTGAAATATTTTTATTTTTGTTTAAACAGACAAAATTTATTATATGTTTTTTATTGATTAGTTATTTAAAAAAAAAAAAATAAATATTAAAAACAATATTATATCGATTTCGAGATTTTGATATTCAACAAAATTTTAAATAAGATAAAAGTGATATTTGTTTATTTTTTCAGTATTTATTTAAAATTAAATAAAACGTAAGGATTTAAAAATAAACAAATATTTCTCGTATACTACAGTGGCCCTAATAAATATTTGTATAAAAAAAGCAAATGGTATTTATTTTTATTATTAATGAAATTCGGAACGCGTTTTAAAATTTAGAAAAAAAAAATACTTATCAGTAATGACGAATGACATGAAAATATAGGTCTTAAAATCAGTATATTTTTCTTCTAGATATAAGAATGTTATGCACATACATACATACACATGGAATCAACTTTGCGTAAATATTTATAGAAACCGCTGTATGTACATGCATATATGTATGTATGTACTGCATATGTAAGTACCTACATAAAATCTTTCAATTTCGACGGCATATATTGTAGGTGAGAATTTAATCTACAATCAAAGTATATCAGAAATAATTTATTTCTTATTTTTATACTTTTCTGTTATCTTTAATTGTTTTTCCAAAATTACAAAATTTTCTTTTAATGTGAATATCGAAAGGTAGAACTAGTATGTATGTACATATATATGTATGTATGTGCGAACACGAAGTGAAATTTTTTAAGTTTATTCTCAAATTTTATATAAAGGGATTTTCCCTTTTATTTCAGTAGCTAATAATTATTAATTAAAAAGTTAGTGTTGAAGTTGAGCAATTATTGCTGCAGTGTAAATAAAGTAAATACTTTAATCGGAGAAGTAATTTCGATATGCGTCGTTTATTTACATAAGTTTAAATGTTAAATTTAAATATTTTCTTTTAAAGTTTATTTTTGGTATTTAAAAAAAAAATCACTTTTGTTTTATCGGAATTATATGTACATACTCTAAAAGTTGAAGACAATAGTGTAGCACAAATTTGTTACATTATTGTCTTCAACATACAAAGTTCTCAATTTTCTCATTGTAACTATATATGTATGTATGTATGTATATGCAGCTTATTTTAAATAAATTGTTAAATATTTGAAACTGAAATAAAATTTCTTAAAAAATTTTTAAGTCTCATTTAAATATTGTGATGTTATAATTAAAAATATTTTATAGGTAACTGAAAATCGAGTTTTTTTTTTTTTGCTGATGTGGGAACTGTCTTACAATCTATAATTTCGTTCATACATATCACATCACAACTACGTATGCATACATACTTATATGCATACTTTTCTGATTATTAAACTGAATAAATTACAATATTCTCCGTCTGAGTTATAAAAATGCATGACAATGTTCACCAAAAACTATTTTAATTGAACAAAAGAAAAAAAAAAGAAATTTAATTGTTTTAAGTTTTTACTCATAAAACTATAGTAACACACAAACATACAAATGTGTTCATTAAATACAATTTAAAATTTCGTGTGAATAATTAAAAACGAAAAAGAATAAATGCTAAGAAATCTCGACCTTAATTATTCGTATTTTAAAAACTTGAATTAATTTAATTAAAATGATTAATTTCTTTCTATCAATCATAAACAAAATATTTCATTTTTAAGATTAATGAATTATAATTGATTTTTATTGTAAAAAACAAATATGTTTTTGAAATCCAAATGCAAGTCAAAAATTTAAAGAGCCAACTTCATATAAACGCATGCATGATTTGAGAAATTTTGTGAATAAAATTTCATTGTGATTTTAATGAATGAATTTGGTCTATGTTCAAGAATTTCAAGAATTTGTCTACTTTAATCGGATTTTACCATTTTCACAACTTTATTATTTTAATTTACTAAAATTTTATTATAATGGTGTTTTGTAGTGAAAACAAAAAAATTTTGAAAAAATAAAAAATTGTGTTATTAATTAATGAAATTATCATTCATTTTCATCAATTAAATTTAAATCATATAATTTGAATTTATAGTCATTAAATATACATACAATAACTATAATTATTTAAGTAAATTCTACCAGCATTTGTAATTTGAGGATTTCATATTTCTTATTCAAGTTTTACGTTTAGAGGAGCGGTTATGTGAGTTTCTGCAATGTAATAACATAAAATAAATACGGCTGCAATAATATTTACAAAAATTACATTTTATCAAACAAACAAAAATTAGATTTCGAATATTTTACTTAGTAAAAGTAAATTTCATTGATAACAAAATTTTAAATAGAAAACCTTCTTACCTATTTTACAAATTTATCTTATTAATATAATTAATTTTGCAAAGTAAAATTATTAAAGTTTTGTTAAATTAAATAAGCATATGTCAAGCACGCTTACATGGTCACATTTTATGGCAGAATTTTTTGTGCATATATTCGTATAACAGTTTTCCGTATAGACTGTGCACAGTTTTCCATTTTCTATTTAATTAAAAAAATTAGATGAAGGCCAAAAATATAATGCATATGTAGGAATTTTTTTTTTATAAATGTCTATTGCAAAATAATAGTGTTCGACTGTAAGTATTTTAATCGTATTTTCTTCATAATTTAATTTAATTTTTTTTTTTTGTTGTAGAAATGAGTTGCCAAACCTATGTAGAGAAAGTTAAAGGAAATTATATATTTGTACTTATACATATGTATATTTTTATTATGATATTACAGTCACAAAATAGCAAAAAAAATTAAGTACTTATACGTTTGATTTTTTAAATGAATATCGTGCTTTCACAAGTTCAAATAAAGAAAATTTATTAAATGTAAAGGGAACAGAAAAATAAAATTGAAAATTAATATTTAAGCTATTTTTAATCATGAATCTCTAAAAACTTTTTTTTTGTTTGTTACAAGGAGGAAATTATTCATAAACAGCAAATAATTACTTAAAAATTTTAATTATTTCCTATAAAAATTTTGTTATTTTAACAAAATATTATGTTTTTTTGACATTTCATATGTTTTTCGAAAATTGGGATGTTTTCTTTTTACTATAACACTTTAAATACTTGAATCAAATAACAATTGCTGAAAAACCACAATCCTTGGAATGCATCTTTCATTACTATTACTAGCCAACAAGGTTTAAAATAATAATATGATCTAGTTATACCTACATAATAAATTGTAATACAATATGATTTCTTTTTAATAAAGAATATGAAATTGTATGAATTTTTTGTTATATACATATGCGTATGTATGTATATTTCTTTGAAGTTTGGATTTCCGTTCAAATTCATGATAAAGCAAAACTATGAAATATATCTAACATTTTAATTGACTGAAATTTTAAATATTCTTAAAATAATTTTTATTTTGCGCTAAATTTTTCACTAAGACAAAACCAAATTAAAGTAAACATAGACATAACATGAATTCTAATTTTATTGAGTAATAAGAAATTTTTGTAAAAATATTTTAAAACAAAATGTTATTAACAATTGTAATAACCAATTTATTAAAGGTTTCCTTTTGTTTTCACTTTTTTGTTTTTGAAGTGAAGCATTAAATTAGAGCTTAAATATTTAGCCACTTAAAGATAGATGTGTAAATCTTACATTATTAAAATAAAACTTTTAATATATGTATAAGGTAAAGATAATTTCAAACCATTTTCATATTATAGGAAATATAAAATCTAAGAGGTTTTAAATTTGAAATTGACATTAAGTTGTAGTTAAAAAATATAGATATGTACATATACATACGTCAAGCGAGACATATACTCGTTATAATGATATTAATACACTTATGTATATTTTTTGAAGAAATCACACATTATTTATTTTGTGTAATTAATTTTATTTTATTTTTTCTTACAGATTCCATGTGCAGCAAATAGATAGAAAAAGAAAGTAAAGAAGAAGAAAAGATTACCGTGAAATTGTTCCAGTTTTCATTTTTGTTTTACGTTTTTATCAAAATTGGTGTTAAATTCTTTGAATAGTTGCAAAAAAATTTTTTGGGGGGATGGCGAAGAACAAATTTTTTTAAGTTAAAATGAATTTTCTATTAATTATTATTTATTAAAATCAACTACTTTATTTTATCTTTCACACTAATTTCAAAAAAAAATCATGGAAATGAAAATTCTCCAAAAAAATGTATAATAATCAGTGAAATTTTGTTTTTACATATTTATTTAATTTACTTAATATTATTATAATTTATTTCTTTTTTTTAAAAAAAAAAACTAATGCAATTAATTAATCTTATTTCTAAAGAAATATTTTGTTTTGCAAAAACGCAACTTAATTTTACTAATTAATATAAAATATCATCGTTAGAATACAATTATTTATTGAAGTTTCGCTCAAAATTTAAAATAAACCTATTAAAAATGTCTTCGAATTTAATACCAGACGCTCAACATTCAGTTGATATACTTCGAGCACTTTTGAACATACAAAAGCGTCCATTATTATTATCTGTATTGTTGAAAGAGTATCGTGATATGGAAGGTAAAAATTTACCATTCAAACTTTATGGATTTAAATCGCCTGAAGAATATTTAAAATCATCAGGAAAATTTTTAGTAATTAATGATAGAGGAGAGGTAAATTTGCTTAAATATTTTCTTTTTAATATAAAAATTCAAGTATATTCGTTTTATACAATTTATTTAAGATTTACATTAGTGCCCGTCCAAATAAAGATTCAGCTCATATTGTTGATATGATTACAAATCAAAAAGCTAACAAAAATCGTCGTACATTTGGTAATTCAAATAATCGTATGCCCACAAAAAATGATCAAAGCTGGAATAAAAGCTCATTTTCATCAAATGTTTACAATAAATTACCATCGAAATCCTTTGGTGATTCCAGAAATAACAGACGTGGTAAAATTATATATTAACGAAGAAGTTTAAACTTTTATTTATTAAAAACATTATTAATTGCATATTTAGGTTACAATAAATCAAAAAAAAATAATCAGAATGTTAATCAAAGATTAACTGGCGATTCAAATAATAATTCAAATACAAGTAATAATAGAAATATAGCAGATAATGTAGCAAAAACGACAGGAGATAGTAAAAAAGATTTTAATGGGGTAAATTATTTAGCTTTTATCATACATCAACTTGATTGCTTTTTTTTTTTTTTAATTGTTAATTAATTTTAGGGCTCAACTGTTCAAATTAAACCTTTAATGGCCAATATGGTTTCCAAACCGGACCTAAACGATAGAATAAACTTAAATAAACAATCTAGTAATCAAAATCAACCAGGTGATAAAAAGCAACGTCAAAAGCAACAATCTCCAAAGCAGGACAAACAAAGTAATTCAAATGAAAAGCATAATACAAAAAATTCGAAAGAATCACATAATAAAAATGAGGTGGAACATATCAAGAGTAACCAGAAACAAACACAAAAAAATTCAAATATTCAATCAAAATCCAATACCCAAATATCTTCCGTAACAAATCGTTTAGAAAACATTAGAAATGTTAAGAATTTAAATTTTAACACTGAAAAAATTGACGATTCGAAAAAATCTTTCAGTTCAACTAACAAAACTAATGAAACTACATCACCAATAATCCGATTCGGTCTCCCTTCAATACAGGATAGGTTAAAAATTCATAAAACACAAGTTTCTCCTGAAAAAGAGTTAAATTCACCTCTCATAACACCTCCTATATCACCATTAACTGAATATTCTGCAAGACCAATTTCCTCATCCAATAGCAGTAGACATAGCTCTCAAGATTCTCTGCAAAACTATATGAATTCCGTAAAGGGAAAATCATCTGTGATAAATAAACAGACAAATAAGACTAAAAATGTATGGAATAATATTAATCCAATATAACTGCTTAAAATTTTACTGAAAATTTTTTTTTTAATTTTTCTTCCAGATTTTGTTGCCGACAGAAAAATACGAATTCGACCCGAAATTAAATTCTGTAAACTCTTTAATCGATTATTGCATGGCTCGTGGATTTCCAGAGCCCCGTTTCAACTTTGTGCAACCAAAATTCATGCATAAAAAAATATATTGCAGTGTAACCATAAATGGTAAAACGTACACAACAATTCCGAAATATTTTACTGACCCAGAAATAGCAAAAGCTGCTTGTGCGGCAATTGCTATTCAGGAAATTAAAGAAACTGAGCTGGCTATTTTATCGTATCCTGTTTGTACAGATACTGATTCAGATTTATTAATGAAAATCTATCAAGAACTGAATCTAAATCATGCAACAAATGGAATTTTTCTCAATGGTTTACCAAAAGTTTTTGAATCTAAATTTCAACAAACTTTACCTGATCACTGGGTTTCATTAATTGAGAAGTCAAAACTATTTGTCCTTGAAAAAACAGCAGACGGTAACACCATACTGTTTCCAAAATTTGGTATAGATGAAACGAGTGAGTATCCAAAGTAAATTAATTCAAAAATTATTTAGAGTTACATACCAACATAGGAAAATAAAATTCTTTCCGAATAAGCTCCTTTTTTTCAAATACATAATTTTTGACATTTTGTTTAAGAAAAATATAGCAAATTTTAAACTTTCAAATTTTGCAGATTATTTAACAACAGAACAAGATGAGCTTATAATTGACCCTTTACAATTACCGTGGGATAACAAATATTGGAATTTGTACATAACGCACTGTGCATCTACCATAGAAGTTTGGGCTCGTATTGTTGACAAAGAGTACAGTCAGCAATTAGATTCGTTATTAAATGACATTGATTTAGAAATGTTAACTGATAAAACTCGACCAGGATCATTAACAACCGGTCAAATGTATTTAGTTTGCATTTCTGAATGTTGGCATCGTGTGCGTTTGGAAAGAATGAATAAAGGTGCCGGCAAATGTTTATGTTTTTTCATTGATTTTGGTGACGATGACTGGTTATCTATGGATCAACTTTTTATATGTGATAAAAAATTTTTAAAACTTCCACCTCAAGCTGTACCTTTTAGTTTATTTGGTTTGGAAGATTTCGCTGAAAATCCCGTTGCCAACCGCCATTTAAATGAAATGTTGATGGGTAAAACATTAATTGCTCAGATTTTTACAAAAAAGGAAACTTATGAGGCAAAAAATATTTCGAAGTCTTCATCTTCTTTCGGTGGTTCCTCAGAAGACTTAAATGAAATAATAAAAATACAGGCTGTGTTATATGATACATCTTCAAATGTTGATATTGTTTTAAACCCTTTGTTGATAAATAAAATTTGCGATGATACACCAGCTCCTGAATTAAAGCAGAATGGTGCAAATAACGTTAACATAACACATGTTACTGATAACGGTGATATTTACTTACAAATTTTGGACTCTGGTTTGCATTATGTTCAGGTAATTTATAAAACTATAGGTGTTTTCAGTATTACATACTAATTGAATCAAAAACAGAAATTAATTTCGCAATTAGTGGAATCAAAGTTTCAACAAGATCAATATAAAGTTAATGCGACTGATATGGGAACTTCAAATTTATATCTGATACATGATAAGGACGATAATCGATGGTATAGGGGTTGCCTTGCCGAAGATAAGATTGAAAATCAAGACAATGTATTCAAAATGTATTACGTTGATTATGGTTTTACAAAACGAATAAATATTTCAAACATATTTCGTTTGGAATCACTTAGCGCAGCTCTAAGTCGATATCCTAGACAAGGTTTGAAAGCTAAAATGTATAATTTGCCACCATTAAACGAGTTTGTATTAGGCAGATTAAAAGCGTTGTTGCCTCCAGATTCTTTAGCAATTGTAAGTTTGAAAATTTCGATGAAAGCAATATTACATTATTATAAATTTTAGGTTAAACTGGCATTTAATAGATTAGACACAAGTCGTAATGTGATCCCGCAAATAACTGTTTTTGTCCGTATCGATAGAAATCAAAGTTTGTGTAATGTGAATGATGCTATTAGAATGGAATACGAGCTAAAGTAATCAAGTTTCTTATCAATTTGTGCAAAAAATATTAATAATATTTCAATTTTAGCTCCGATGATTTTGCAGTGGAAACTTATAAGACAACGACAAATAGTAATATAAATTCTTTTTCAGCTCCCAGTTCACCGATTTCGCAACAATCAAAAACAGAAATGCCGTTCGGTTTTCGTAGCTTATCAGTTCGTTCACCAATAACTGTCCCTACCACACCAACGAAAGGTTCTTTACCAAAATTGAATATGGATTTTTGTCTTCCTAAAAAGGGTGAAATATTCAATGTTTTAGTGACCCTAGCATCGAATCCATTTAACTTTTTTGTATGCCATATTAGCGAATAATAAAATTCTTTAATGGTAATTATACACATTATTTTTTATAGGTAAGACCATATAGTGATTTTCTACACTTTCAAAGTATGATGACAGAATTACAAAATTTTTGTCAAGATAATGACGAATTTATTCCAAACGATATGATTGAAGAAGGTGAAGCTTATGCAGTACTTTTGGAAGATGGTTTTTATTATAGGTAAATAATTTCTTTTTTTTTGTTTTCAAAAAATTTTAATTTATTCAAATTTAAATCATTTAGATGTGTAATAGAAAGAACCTTGCCACATCAAACAAGCCTTGTGTATTTTTGTGATTGTGGAGATAGAAATGTAGTTGATGTAAATAAATTACGAACATTACCAGCAAAATGTCGTGATTTGCCTATTCAAGCTATTCAAGCTAAACTACATGGTAAAAAAAATTAATATTTAAATATTAATGTGAAATAAAAAAAAATATTAAATTTTGGAATTTTGATGAATAATTAAGATATTTTGTGATAAACAAACAATTTTCAAATATTAATTAATTTTAGGAGTAAAACCAAGTAAAGGAGAATGGACTTTAAATGATAGCATACGTTTTAGTGAATTGACCGTTGGGCAAAGATTTGCTTCTGTTGTGCAAAATATTTCAATTGACGACTTTGATCCTAATAAAAAATCAAAAGTTTTAGAATTAACATTAATTGATGTTCTCACTGAAGAAGATATATATATTCACGAGATTTTAGTTGAAGAAAACCGTGCTGTTAAATGCTAAATTAGTTTGTAATATTTATTTTTTCTTGCACTTTTTATTTAGAAAATTTCTAAAAGAAAATATAGTTTTTAAAAAAAAAAATACTATTAATATGTTAAAGTAAAACTTAAATATATACGTAGATAGAGATTTTTCAAATTAATAAAAAAGTAGATAGAAAAATTTCTCGGTCTCCTTTCTCTAAATGCTGAAAAATAATTTCAAGTTATTGCTTGATATTTTTAAAATAAAATTAATAAAAATAAAATTTTTTACGTATTTTTGATAAATAATATTTTTTGTACTAAATGAAAAAACTATTATTGAAATTGGTTTATAAAATTAAGTAGGAACGTATTTCTTTTAGAAGTAATCTCAAATCATAAAAATGTGAACTTATTCATTTTAAAACACTTATTAAAATTCATGTCTTAAAAAATTGATTTTAATGAATTACTTTCCATTATTACATATGTATGTGCATATTTAAGTTTCTGTTTTGTGTTTTGTATCATTCCAAATACTTTATTATTTTATTTTTGTTAAATTTCATGATTTTTTATATTTTTTTCATAAAATTATTACAATTATAAATGAAAGTTACTAATTTTTTAAGGCCATAGAAATGGAATTTTTAAATAGGTATTTGCTTATGTTTTAAAAATTTCCTCAATTATTCTTTTTGAATTCGATATGAATTAATATATTTAATTAATTTTTGCTTTTATTTTCATTTTGAAATAAATTAAAATATTTTTACTTATATAAGAAATATAAAAAACGATATATAATATTTATGTATTTATTTTATATGCATATAAAAAGGACTTTGAAAAAAAAAAATTCATTTGAAATTTTTAAAATTAAATAATTTTAGACACAGAATTTTTATAATTTAAATAAACTTAAGAACTATAGATTTTAAACAAAATGATAAAAAAATATATGTAAAAAATGAATTTATATTTTATATGTTTCAAGCAAAATTTATATTTTATTTGTTTCAATTAAAATTTATATTTTATTTGTTTCCCTCTGCTTGGATAAATATGAAAATAATATTTAAAAAATATTTAATTGCTTTTTTTTTTTTTCGTTAAAAAATTATTCATATTACATTATCCATCTAAATTATAAACATACATTAAATATTTGAAAGAAAATATTTTTTGTTTATTTTGGTATAAAGTTTATAATCAATTAAATAAAATTTTTGAGAACTAAAATTGTATGATTTTTAACTTATTATTGGTTTCATTATTAGAGGTGCATAAAAACTTTTTTGTATAGTTGTTAAGGAGATTATCAAGACAGATGTTGTGCGACATAAATCACTTGCTTCATTCAGAAGGTGTTTTATGAAAGGACTTGGTATAAATGAAATACTTTTACATATTTGTGAGAGAATTAGAAAAAGCAGATCGAGGTATTAATAAATTTTATTATTTTTGCAAAAAAAAATGTACATCTATTAAAAGCAACTCTTGATGAACATAAACTATATTTTAAAACGAACTCGAAATGACGTTCTCTAACTTTAATATAATATATCTCCGCTAATGGTAATGAAATCATCAAAATTAGAAAAAACTACTTTTGCATTGTTTCATCTCACATGAAAATGTACTAAGAATATTTTATTGTCTGATGAGCTCAAAGTCAAAATCATAAATAAAAATAAAAATTATTCAAAAAAAATTTTTTTTTTGTGATTTATTGCTTATACTTTCGTTGTTTTTTTGTTTTTGATAATTTACTATTATTTTTTAGATATTGCTCCAAATTATTATTAACCGTGTAAACTATAACCGACTATAACTAATTTAAATAATTCATCACATGTTTAATTTGAAATTGTGTAACAGATAACAGAATTTTCGATTAAAATTTTTTTTTTTTTATTAAGGCAATACAATTTGAGAATTAAAAAACGTTCCAAATTGAAAATGTCGCATTGAACTTTAGAATTGCAACTTAATTATTATTTGTGATTCTGAAAAATGTGAAACATAATTGCAAAAGTAGTATGAAACAGGTGATACAAGGGAAATTTTTAATATTTTGTTCTTTAATTTTTGTTTTTGTAAATTTATTTCATATATTCTCATCTCAATATCTATGTATTTTATAATAGCACTATTTCATTTTAATAGTTGAATTTCTTCTCAATAGAGTTTTTAAATTCTAGAAGTAAGCAAAATAAATGAAAAATTACAAAAACAAATAAAAAAAACAAAAAAAAAAACAAGTTAACCGGAACTATGGTCGAATTCGGTTGACATTTTTTACCTTTAACTTTTCCGCAATTTTTATACAGAATATTTCAACTGAATTATATTTTTGGTGTAAGTGAATTAATTTTTTAAAATTGCGCATTCATAATATAACAACTTTAGAATAGTGAATAAAATAAAGTTATTCAGAATTTTTTATTATTTGATTTTTTTTTTTTTTTTATTTAAGAGGGAAGAAATTTTTTTACAGAACCAGGCTTTGGTAGTGTTATACAAAATTTTGAATAGTTAAAAGCAAGTTGATAAATTGTGTTATAAAATAATTTTTGGATAATTTTATATAAAAAAATTGTCTTTGTTGAAAAAGAAATTATTGAATTTAATTTGAATTTAAAATAGAAAATAAAAATTTTAATAACAGTGGGTCGGATGAATTTTGTTTTAATTTAAAAAAAATATACATATAATGTTCAAATTAATAAAAGAAATTAATTGTTTATTATAATGTGATATTCTGTCAATGCAATAATGGTAGCTAAAAATTTATGATTTACATTATAAAAATTAAACTGCATAGTTAAAATAAAAATTTATTTTAAAAAATTTAACAAAAATTAATTTTAAACAATTATTGTTGAATGCAGATGTAGTAATGTGCCTGCATATATATTTTTATAATAAATTAAATATAATATAAAAACAAATTCTGAAAATAATTACATTTTAAAAAATATGGTGTGATTTTTTACTTAAAAATAAATAAAGTTTATATAGATTTACAGGGTTTTATTCAAAATTTAAATAATTTTTAATAGAAAATATTCTATTATACTAACATTCTATTCTAATAATGAAGAGAAAATATATAATATTTATTTACAGTATTTTTTTAAAGCTTATAAACAATTAAAAAAATTAGAAAATTTTATACTTAAAATGTGCTTCGAAAAAATTACTCATTTTATTAATCTACTAATTTGTATCAAATGTGATACATTTCATTTAAATTATTTATACTGTTTTTGTGTTTAAAGTGTTAATATGTCTGTACGTACAAGTAAAAGAACATTATGAATGTGGAAAAGAAATACTTGTACTCATGAATATTGTAGTGGAGTAAAATGCAATACTGCAAAAGCATAAAAGTGATTAATATGTACAATATATTTTTATCTATTATTTAAAATCCTATAATAATTGAGCTACTCATGCTAATTTCACTATGTATATATATATGTATATATATTCCGAAAATTCACCAATGTTTATAAACAAACAAAATTAGAAAAATTAGTTTATTGAAGCGCAGTTTTCGCGATATGCTGCTTGTATGAGAAAGCCTTTCATATTCAAAGTAAATGAATATAAGGAAAATTTAAAATCATCAAATTTTCATTTATGAATATTTTTTTCATTTTAATCTTGTTTTTATTTAAATAATCGAATTTTGAAATCAGCTCAAGGCCATTTTCCTATATAATAATTCCATTCATCAAACCGTCATTTTAATTATATTATACATATTTATATAAAGAAGTACATTTTACATTACTTTGTAACAGAATTTAGACGATCACTATTAGTGTATCAATTAGTTTGATACGTACTGTTATTGTATTTTCATTAGAAAGAAGAGAAAATAAAATCTCTATTAATTATACTTTATTGCAAACATACTTTTTTTTTCTGCAGAATTAATATGTTAAAGCGAGAATGTTAACAATATATTTTTCTACATATACATATATTTTTTCTTTCTTTTCCTCTTTAATGCATTTGCATGCCCTTGTATTTTAAACTCAATTTATGGATATTAATAGCGGAACTAAGCGGATGCTATAATTTAAAAATGTTAACAATTATTTTAATTTCGAAATTTTTTAATAAGGGGAAAATAAATATTGAATATTTTGTATACATATCGTATGTATAATTATTTTAATGGCCATATGTGTATGAATGTATATGTATAGTATCATCCAGTTGAAAGGAAAATTTTTCATTTAGGAATCTGGAGTAATTTTTTTTTCGTAATGAGTCAAACTAAAATTTTGATGACATATTTATATAATATGAGTAAATTACACCACGCGACCCAATTAATAAGTAAATAAAGATATAACAACTTTTATTAAGTTAAAGTTTTTAAGAGACGAATCATTATTATACATTGTATCTACCGTTGAATATTTTAATTAACGAAGCATTAGCTTTGAACATATCTTTTACACGTATATGTATGTATGTATTGTCCGATATAATTTTGTATACTTTCAAAAATATTTTCATGGGGATCTACCCTTTCCCGTTTGATTATACCAGAATTCCTAATATTATTATAGTTATATTAATATTTTTTTAAATAAATTATAAGGTCTGCAGTGTATACAATTTAGAGATTGTGTAGAGATTTGGGGTACATTTTTGTTCAGTTTCCATCAAAACCGTTTGAAATTCAAAAATAATTTCTAAAAAAATTTTTGTAATGACCTAAACATAAGTTTTTGCATGCAAAGTGTCTGATATAGAACTTTTTGAACAAAAATGAGAGAAAATTATGACGTTTTCATTTTCTCAATGTTTAAAATTTTCTCAAATAATTTCATTTTGCAGTATCTCTAGGTCTTTTGAAATTTAATTTTATAATTATTGATAAATTATATATAACTAATTTTTACAAATTTTTATAGAACATAATTTAAATATACAAATGGGTTTATAGCATTTTTTGCTTACTTTCTATAAAAGAAAATAATGAGAAATGGGACGTTATAGAGGAAGAACTCATTTACTCAATTTAGTTTTACTTCAAATTTTATTAATAATAATATTAATGAAAAATTTGACTTCGGCAGAAACTTATAGCTATTTAGTTTTGGACGGACAAGGAGCTATTAGTGGAGTAAGTAATTAAAAAAATATTTTAATTAGAAATAGCTATTCCTTTTAATATATTAAATTTATTTGTTTTAATTTTCTATAATTTTGGCGTATTTGTAGTTAAAAATTTTTCCGGAATCATCAAAAACAGCAGTTTTTGCTTTTTTGGGTGTTCCGTATGCTGAACCTCCAGTGGATAATTTGAGGTTTGCTGTATGTATTCTTATACATGTACATATCCTTTACCGTGCTCTTAATATTTATTGTTTTACAATGTTTTTTTTTAAGGTAGCGCAACCAAATTCTGGTTGGAATAAAACATTATTAACAAATTATGTGAAACCAATCTGCCCCCAATTAACTAATAGTATTTATGATGAAACACCAGACAGAATTTTGCCACGACAAAGTATAATAGATGAAGATTGTTTATATTTAAATATTTGGACCCCAGAGGTAAATCTATAATTTTTATTGAAAATGTAGTAATTTTTTTATCTCATTATTTAAATATTTTTAGATCGCTTTTAAACAAGGGAATTTTCCAGTTCTAGTTATAATTAGTGGTGAAGAAATGTCTTTTGATTGGGCTAAACATAGAATATCCGGCTTAGATTTAGCTTCAGAAGGAATTGTAGTTGTTCATGTACAATATCGAACAAACATTTTTGGTTGGATCACTATGAATAGTTCCGAATTTCCGGGTAATTTTGGACTTTCGGACCAAACATTGGCTCTATTATGGATACAGAAACATATAATAAAATTTGGAGGAAATCCAGATAATGTTACCATAATGGGACATGGTACGTCGGGTGTAACATGTGCCTTACTCCATTTAATAAGTCCGAAAACAGATGAATTATTTTCAAAAATGATACTTATGTCTGGATCATCTTTAAATTTTCGTGTAACAAGTGATAAAAGGGCATCTGAAATAATGATTATAAAATTAGGATGCTATGATACTAAAACAAGTATAGTGTTGAGATGTTTACGATCAAAAAGTGTGTCAGATTTATTAAATGCATTTGATATTGTGTATCAACATGGAAACTATTCTATTATTCCGGGTCCAGTTTTAGATACTTTCCGAATAGAAAAACATCAATATGTTCCAAAAAACTTAGATGATGTTTTAAAATCAGGAGAGTATCGTAAAATTCCAATCATTATTGGTATATGCTCAAACGAAGGTGCATTTATTCGTGATTATTGGATAGATTTAGCCAGGGAAGGATTTGAAAGTCTGAGGAGTTACATAAATTTTACAACATTACCCTTCATTTTAAGAAAATATCTTTTTTTGGAGGGTGAAAATAATCAAGTAATAAAAGCATTAAATTGGCGTTACTTTCAAATGGTAAATCCAAGACACCCAAGTTATTTACTGAATTCTATGCAAAGGCTTATTTCTGAAGCAGAGTTTGAAGCACCATTTTACAATACTATAGAATTAATGGCACGATCTATTCATCAATATACATCACCTGCTGATGCAGCAGATTTATATGTTTATGTGTATCAAAACTCAAATTCGATGGACTTAAGAGGAAAAATTAATTTATTTGGTGGAGCTTCACATTCATCTGATTTACCATTGTTATTTGGTCCAAGTTTATTTCAACAAATTGCGAGAAGACGATTCACACAATCTGAAGACAAAATTTGTCGAAAACTTCGGCAATTTTTTAGTAATTTTATAAAAACTGGTATAGAATTAAAAGTTTTTCAAGAAATTTTTTAAAATTCTGACATTTTTTCTAATTTAAAACTTTTAGGGAATCCAACACCAGGTCGTATATATGACGCTTGGATGACATATACTGTTACCAAAAAATATATTAAAATTTTAGGAGATATGATGCCAACGGCACAAACCAATGAGGATTTTTCAATGACTTTTTTGGAAAAAAATTTTGCTGAAATTGAAGAAATGTTACACAAAGATACAGGCAACTTAGAACCATCTCCGACATCAAGAGAAATCTCAAATCCATATGATTTGAATAAAATAGACACAAAACAAAGGGTTAAATCCACTTATGTAATAAATCGTCAAGATTATGAATATTTTAGTCGCTTAAAAAAAGTTTATTCCTTTTGGAATGTTTTACTGCCCAGCATATATCAATCAAACAATTATCAAAATAATAATATTGACACTACATCAATAAATGATAGAAATGGTAAAAACATAATTATTGGTGAAGCTGAAATTCTAGAAGCTAATAAATATAAACATGCATTTTTTTGGATGTTAGGTTTAGTTTGTATTTTATTAGCTTCGTTAGGAATATGTACTTACGTTTTACGTCGTGATCATCCAGATTGGGCTGCAGAATTATGACATAGATTACGGCTTCGGTCCTCAACATCATCATCAGTGATAAGAACCCGTCAACATACAGATGATAGATTAGGTGATCTTAATCATTTAAGTGATGTTAAAATAGGATTACCTAGAATACGACCGAAGCTGACACCAAAAATGTCAAGACGACAAAAATTAGAAACACATAATCGAAGACAGCGAAGTCCAGATCAATATTTACAACAACATCAACAACGATGTGATAGTCGAGATGATCCTGTGAGAGTTAGTGGAAGAAGTGGTGGTTTAATTGAAAGATATGAACGTCGCAAATCCAAATCAAGTATAGTTGATAGAGTTGATAGTGGAAGAATTGAAATTATTGATTCACCTTCTAATTGTGATTGTAATGAAATTCGAAATTGGCGATATCAAATATCTAGAGAACATATGTAAATTAAGCTTTTAATTAAAATAGATATAAAATTAAAATTTAATTTATGTATGTAAATATTATGCATGTTTTTAGAATTGTAATAGCATTATAATTAATTTGTAAATATTTTAAATTTTTCTAATTATTTTTTATGTTTCAAATATTTTTATAACGCAATATCTAAATAGATAATTAAATTAAGATTATATTCGTAATAAAATTGCTTAAAACTTTTGATCTTAAAGGTAGAGTTTGTTATTAAAGAACTATTCTGTAAGCATAAATGTATTTAATGAAATTTCATCGATAAATACTAGGAAACTCTGGAATAAGAAATTAAAATTTTTAATTTATTTTTAAATTGATTTTCTTATTATTTATGAAATATGATAATTAACAAATCTTTTCGTTAGTTTAATGATTTAAATAAATATTATGCATTTATATTTTATTGAATTATAAAATTTTAAAAATCTTGTAACAACTTTTCATAAAAACTTTCAAAAAAAGGCACATTTTATTTTAAATTACTTTTTTTAATTATTTGATTTTACGATTACTAAATAATTTTATTTAGCTGGCGTGTGTATCTCAACAATATTGTTTGATTTTAATAGCACTATACTGTGTTCGGGACCTGATCCAGATTTAATTAAACCTATTCCTTTTATTTCCTCATCTTTTGAACATTTTATTTCATTTCCATCAAGAAAATCATAGATCTTTATATTACCATCACTTAAACAATACATTTTTCTACCATCAATTGATATTTCAATGCAATCGATAAGATTTTTTCTTAAAATTGTTCCATTTAATAAAATTTGTTGATCAAACATTTTATATTGTTTCCATGGATTTTCAAATAATTCTTCAAATTCTGGTATAGCTGTTCTTGGACGAAATTCTTCATCTATTATAAAATAGTTGTTAGATTGTTCTAGTTCATCAAATTTCATTTTTCTTTCATTACGTATCATATTTTGAATGGCACAAGATGATTGAATTTTTTCCATTTCGATTGAATCTAAATTTGATTTTCTTCCATTGTCTTCATTATCAAATTCTTGTTCTATTGGATTTGTTTTATTTTGATTACAATTAATTGCAATCACAGAACCATTTGATAATCCGACTATTAAAAACTCGTCATTTGGATGTAATCGTATCGCTGTTGGGAACATAAATATACTTTCATTTATATATATTTTTCGAAAACGTTCTGGTCTTAATGTTTTTGAGCACACTAATATAAAATTTCGATTTGTTGCTACATATATCATATTACTACTTGTATCTATTGTAGTAAATCTTAATCCTTGTAATTCTTTGTTTTTATTTTGATCTTCTGTACTGGTTTTTTGTAATTCCTGTAAAGTTTGATCATCGAATATTTCATTTTCAAAATATAGAAGTGTCTGTTCAAATTTTGTTTGTTTTTTGAGAATTTTAATTTCTAAATAACTTCGTAAATCACAAATTGCACTCTGTACTAATTTCACTCTAGTCCATGGTGATGAAAATTCATGTTTAATATCTAAATTATTATATTCATTTGATTGAGATCTTGCAGCAAAATTTGACTGATTTATTTCAATTAAACTCCATATAGTTAATATTCCTGTGTCATTCAACGAAACAAACTAAAAAAAAAAATTTCAAATTTTAATGTTCTTCTTTAAATAGTGCGAGTGCTAAAAAGTAATTACATACATATTATAGTTGTACAACATGAACATTTAAGATTTATACTATTAAAAAGTAAAATTATTACCTGTATTTGTCTGTATGCTTTTAATGCATATGCTCCTGTTTCAGGCTTAAAACTTTTAATATCTACTACGGATCCTAAATCTCCTTTTAACCTTGTTTGAATTCCCCTATCACTAGGCACAATCGGTACAATTGACTGACTTGCAGCAAAATGAGTTAAGTATCCGTCTAATTTTGAACAATATGAATATGATTCACGTAAATCCCACATAGCTATGCTACCATCTTTTAAGCCACTTACAATTATATCTGTTGATTCAGTACAAATATCCACTTTACTAACTTGACTCCAAGTAGATAACAAACGTATCGGATTCTCACAATCAGAATTACTCCAAACAACAATTAAATTTTGAAATTCATTTTTATAAATATCTTCAGTGCTCTCATGTATTGTTAAAATGAAATTATATTTGACTGCTGAAAATATTTTAGTAACTTTAAGAGCATTCAAAAAATTCGCATTTAATGTTCTATAACCGCAACTGAAACTTAATTTTGTAGTATTTAAGGCAGTAGCCGTTTTACTATTTCGATTTAAAACTTCAAAAACTGTCATTTTTACTCCATTTAAAAATTGATTTAACTTATCTAAATCGATGTCTTGATTTTCGGAATGTCGATTAGTATTTTTTGAATCAGTTTTCTTAAATGCTTCTAATAATTTAATTGTTTTTGAAATATTATTAGAGAGTTCGATTTCATCATTTCCTTGATTATTATCCTGATTATCATTTACAGCATTTACATGATTATTTATTACTGATCTACTATCTATATGTGATGAATTTTGATATTCATCAGCATTATTAAAACTGTCATTACCTTCTGTATCTAACTGTGAAACTTTCAAATTACCGTAAATTTTTATAAAATATTCGTAATCCATCGGTTTTAAATCAAAAAGATGATACGAGATTTCATCAAGTTGAATTTTTCTCATTAACTCCTTTCCCCGTATAGATTCGCTTGAAACTGGAAAAATTGATCCAACAAAGTCTTCTTTACTGTACTCCGTAAATATAATAGATCCTTTTGAATTGGAGCCGATCCCTGAATCCAATCTATCAGAATTATTTGTTGTAGTTTCTAAGCTATCTAATTGTTGCTGTTCAAGATTTTTTTCTTCCACATTTTGTTGGTATTGAATAGTCTTATTTTCCAAAGATTTGTTACCAGAATTTGTCGATTTTAAATCATAATTTCCCGAGTCTAATTTTCTCTCAGTTTCTCTTTCTTCTCTGTGGATTACCGTAATTGGTGGTTGAGTTTCATCAGAATCCTCTTCTTCGTCATTGTTAATATTTTGTTTGCCACCTACATCTGACCTACTATGAGTGTTAGAATTTTCAGACACATTGGATTCTTCTGTATCGGTAGCTTCAGCAGATGACGATCCACTTTCAAAATCTGATTCATACGATTCAAAATCATCTGCATATGAATTTTCTAATGAATCATTCGAAGAAATATCTTCATCATCATTATTATTAAGATTTTCTCCACTCTTTTTAGTCTCGTTAAGCCCAATTTGACTAGTTTCTAATTTACTTTTTTCGTTATCGAAATTAATTTCGAAGGCAATAGGTTCTTTAATTGAAATAACTGGAATTACTTCACCCATTAAATCTGTATTAGTGGCAAAGCTTGTTTCGGTGTTTTTTTTTATTTCATTGTCATATTTTTTTAACATAATAACTTCTTTTGGCTCCAATGTAACAGTTCTTCTTCTTTCGTGTATATTTGTAGGAATATCATCAAAATCATCTTTTAATTGAGCTTCAGATGGTAAACTTTGAAATTCCACTGAATTTTGTTTTTTCCTTACTGGTGGCGGCGAGGCAACAGTAACATTGTGATAAGTGTCTTTGACTAAATTCGGTTTACTGGGTATGAGATTTTTAAGTTTATTTTGCATAATAACATCACGTTTTGCTTTTAAAGGTTCATACCTCGAAGATGTGGTATCAGTTTTTATTTTAGTTGAAATTGGTTTCGTTTTCATTTTAGAAACTGAATTAGTCAGTTGATTTACTTTGTTAACTGAGGGTTGTTTTGCAAGTAAGTTTTTTTTACTTGAAACTTTAGTTGGTATTTGGACATTTTTTTCATCCTCTTTAGTTTTTTTAGTATCTGTACTTTTGGAATTTGTTATATTTTTTGAGGAGGTACTAGGGCTTGCTGTTGCTGTTTTTGAAGCAATACGTTTTTTTTGGTCTGTTTTTCCGGACTGAAGAATTTTCGTTGTATTTGACTAAATAGCAATGTTATTGGCAGCGAAAAGAAAAATCATTTTATTTTCATTATTATTTAATTCGTTTAATATAATACATATGTACATGCATATGTGTAATTTCTTAAGCAGTTTTATAATAACAAAATCAAAACAAGTATACATTGCAAAGTAAATTTTGTTTAATTTGCATATTTGTACAAACAACTCAATAATTATAAGAAAGACGAATAAAAATATTCTACGTGGATGCCTAAATTATTTAAAGCACTAACTTAATGAAGCTGGAAGCTTAGAGAAATTTCAATTTACTGTATTTGAATAATTAATTTGAAATCGAAAGAAGTCAAAATTAAGCCTAATCGAAACTCAAATAAGAAATTTTACGAATAAATTTTAAATCGATTCTTTGATATTTCTCCTAAATATATGCAAAATATTTGGAATAGAAAATGATTCCTAATAAAGAGATTTTGACTCGACTTTGGATTCATCGAAATATTTGTATATTTTATTATTTTCTTCCAATTGTCGTTTATAAATAAATATTCATTAGAAATATTATGTTCTTATACTTATTACTAACAATCAATTTATTGTTAACCTAAAAACACTTATTTGTAACCGATATAACATATATGTGTGCACATATATGTACGTATTATCGTGTATTCTATACAAGTTTATCATGCAGAAAAAAGGTTACCCTTCGAACTTTAAAAAAATATTAAGAATTTCTTTGATTTCCTTTTTTATTCACATACTTGTATAACAATTTTCAATTACATAGTTATATTATCTTGATTTGTTGTTCTCTTCAACAGAGTAGACTTATCCCAGATTTATTTTTTACTTTGAAAACTTAAGAACGCTCAAAAATAAAAAAAATATTGTCATAATATTTTTCTTATAAATCATCATGATTGTTATTTTTCTATTCATTTTATTAACGTGGCAATTTGGCAACTCTAATCACTTTAAATATAAACATCCTATTTAATAAACATTAATGACTTCAAAAATCAGATTTTCTTTTATAATATTGCTTTTGGTTTTGAAAATAATTGTTTAGTTCTACAAAAAAAAACTAGATTACTAAGTAAACATCTTTATTTCGTACTTGTTGAAACTATTTAAAGCTCAAAACACTTTAAAACAAATTATATTTAAACATTTAAACTATAGTAATTAAAAAAAATAAGCAGCCATTTATGAGTCAATGAACAAATAACATTAATACTACATGTGAATCTCAAAGTGCGCAGTTATAACTCTTCTTTCGCCGCTGATACAATATTGTATGTATTTAAAAATATACATAGGTACATATCTATAGTAAAGTGCAAAAAATAATAAAAAATGAAATTTATAATTAAACACAAGTTAAAATTTTACTTCAAATTGTATTGTATATTGTTTGTAGTGTGTTTGTGCATTTCGGATAAGAAACCCCAGTGTAGAGAAAATCGAATAAATAAAAAACAAGTTGTATACATTTTTTTTAATATTTTTTTATATTCCAATTTTAAAAAAATAAAATAAATTTTCTTAACATTGTGAAATATTTGGTGCAAAATATAAAAAGGAGTTTTTATAAATCGATATTTTTCTACAAAAGAAAAACTATTGATGAATTTTTGATGAACTCACGATTTTATTCGTTGTGACTTTATTTGGTCTAGACATCTTTTTTATTTTAATTAACAATTAAATTTCATTTTAATAATTTATTTTAAATTAATCTCTTAATGAATATATTATTAAAATAAAGCTACAAAAATAAAACAAATTTGCTTGCATATTATGAAAAATTCTTAAAAATTTGTTTTGAAACTTCACATGACAACTACATTAATATGAAAAAAAAAGAAAAATGACAATCAGCTACTACAAATGAAATAGTCAACTACAGTTTGAGAATATCTTATGGAAATTTTGTTCATGAAGCGACTTCAAGTGGTGAATAAGTAAAATACAGAAAACAAAATCGAATATAATGGTAAGTAAGTTAAATTTGTTTGCAACCTATTTGTAAAATGTTTGGAAAATATAATATGTACATGTATGTATGTATTAATGAAAATATAAATTATGCTATTTGATAAAAATTTTCTTAAATTTATAGATGTGTAACGCATCTCAGTAATAACTATAATAAAATATCTTATTTTAATAATGTCTAAATCTATTGATAATGAATGTATATATTATTATTTACGTACATGCATATCGCACATTTGCGAGAAGAATGATATAAGTCAAAATAAAGAGTAGTAAACTTGCTTTTGTTACTACATATAATATTTTAATAAATAAAGGTTCTCTGTAACAATAAAAAATAAAAAATTTACTAATATACACTCGGCTATAAATATTTTAAATATCGGAAGTCGAAGTTATATTTTTCTGTTGTGTCGTTATTCTTCCCAATGTGCGTTATTACATATGCACATATTATGCAGTTCGTTTTAGTTTATCGTTTAAATTTTTACGATATTGGTTATTAATACGATTTACGATATTTCTCTATGAGTGTACATATATACCTATTTATGTGAGAATGAGATAGTAATAATGGATATTCAAGATCGAAAAACGATTTTTGAAAAATTTCGGTCAATACAGTCGGTGACAAAAACATCACAAAGTTTTATTGTTGTTTAAAATGAATACGCTTTGTGCATTTTTAATGAAATTTTTTATAATAAAAAAGCATTAGTGAAATTTAATTCTAAATTTATTTATAGTACAATAAGTTTTAACTAGATAATAATATCACAATATTTATTTTAAATATTTAAACATCTGACTGAAACATTAAACATAAAAAATAAAAAAAAAAAAATATTTGAAATTTCAATAAAATACTGCATACTCATTCGCATTCATTTTTGTGACAAAATTCAGAAAAAAATAAAATAACAATATTCCCTAAATTGTTTCAATTCAATAAAAACTTATGATTACAATTAAAATTCCTATTAATAGAACACTTAAATAATTTTTATTACTGCTATTTGAAATTATTCTTTCAGAATATTTTTTATAAATATCCTCAAGTAATCTTTCGGCTGAATCTTTTTTCATTTCAATATAACCTTTTAATCCATCTGTATTATCACGGAACATTATATTACTTCTTTTATCAAAAGGTCCATACATCGTAAATGGTTTTGTATGTTCTTTATAATGTTTACCAAAAAGTCGATCCATATCTTTTAAAGAATTGTAAATCTCGTGTTGCCTTGTTAAAGTAGTATTATGTACCATAATATGACCTCTAGGTGTCCAATGCAAATAACATAATTCATAAGGTGATTTCTTACTATGGCCATATGGACAAAGGATTTCATATTCATTTCTATCAACTGATTTATCTAATATAAGGCCATCAGTGAAATTTTTATAAATATCAGAACTAATAAATGCAACATCACCATAACCATCTGCTAAACATTTCAAAGCTCCAGCATCACCCTTGTATGCTTCTGGGCACGTATGACCATTTGGTTTCCATATACAAGATTTTCTAGTAAAATAACTTGGTATACTTTCATATTCCTGATGAGTAATATTTGCAATTGCTTCTAAAACAGAAATATAAGCAGCACCTTCATATGATGGAAAACATGCCTGATAATCACGTAAACTTTCAAAATTTTTAAATTTTGATTTCTTCTTTACAACAGCAATTGTAACGTATCGTTCGTGCATTTCTTTTGAAAATTCATATAATAACGGTATAAGATTATAATCTCTTTGTGCTTTAATACGCGTATCCTGATCAACTAAAACAACATCAGCTACTCTATCTTTAACATCCTCTAAACATTCATCTATACTTAATGTTCGAATGCATTGAATATTTGGTTGGATACCATATACCTGAGATATTTCTTGTAACCAAGAACATTTAACGTGTTGAATAATTGAAGTTGTACAATAAACAATTGAACGTGGAGGATTACATTCTGGAAAACTGTATGCACTTTGAAAGCCAATTGCTTGATCTAAATAATCATCAATTGTTATAGTATTGTCTAATGTTTGAATTTTTGATCTATATGGTTCAATTAAGCTTAATAAAGCACGCCGCCATTCCTCTTCATTATTATAACTTAAACGTGACACAATGTCTTGAATTTTGGCGGCAATTTGTCTTTGCGCTGCAACCGCTGGCCAAGGTTTTGCTACCCAAACACAGGGATGTGTTGTATTTAACGGTTGCAAATGACCATCTGGACAAACGAAACTATATTCATTTGGATTGGCTTCTGGAGGTAGACCACTAAACTAAAAAAGAAAATTAAGATAATTTTACATTCGATATGAAAATATATACTTAATATAAGGTAATTTTTCTTTTATTTACGTACTCCGAAATGAGATTGAATATCATCTAATCTAGCCCATGCTACTTCACCGATACCACTAGTTAAACAATATAGAGAACCTCGGCGACCCCAATGCTTGTCACCAATACCGCAACGATAAGAGTCATAACAAATTTCACATAATGATGGATAACGAGTTTTTAATATTCTATCCTGGACTGGATCTGGTACCCATGGTCCAGCTTTACATGATGGTCCGAAAAAGTTTGCTGTATCACGAATTCTACTTTCTGTTAATGATAAATTTTCATCACATTTTTTCGGTACCAAAACTGATTCAAAATACTGTAAAAAAAATTATTTTAGCATAATTCAAAAGTTTTTAATTGTTTTTTTCTTTTTGAAAACTTACTTTTCCTAGGATCTCTGTCATATGATTTTCTAATCCATGACCTGGATGACAGAAACGACTGCCACGTAAATCATGTGCTGAATTAATACCTGATTCATTATCAACAATTGCAACTATTTCATATTCAAATGGTGTATCATGAAAACGCATTTCATTGGTAACCAAAATCTCAATTGAATTATAACGGGCAGCAATTAAATCTTCAGATGAAAAAACACCAAAATGTGCTGTACCTTTATGAATACGTCGTACACAATCTAATCGATCTACACCAATAACACATTCCATATTTGAATTACTATTTTCTAATATTGGACAAAATTTTGATCCTTTTTTATATGATCCTCTCCCTTCAACTATACAAACTCGAACTGAAATTAAAATATTGAGTTTTATTTTTAATTGATGATTGAATATTTTTGTTTTAATTTTTTTTTATTTTAAAAATCTATTGAACTTTTCGATAAATATTTAATTTATCATTTCATGCACTTCATATAAAGACTTTGAAACCAGTTGGCTTTTTTTTTCTTCATAGTTTTAATTTTTTTTAATATGAAGTTTTTTTTTTTTGTTGATTTTTATTCAAGTTCAAGGTGAGTCAATTGATCTTTTTTTTCTATGTTCTTGTGATCATAAAAAAAAATGTACAATTAAAATTAATTGAGAGCTAAGGGGAGAAAAAATAAAAGTATTTTTTTTCCCGACAATAGGAGTTTTTAAAGAAATTGTCATTAAAGTCACTTTAAGTGACTCTAATTGAATTAAGAGTTTTTTTTATCATTTTTCACATTTTATACTTAATTAAAGGAGTGAAATTTTACGTGGTTATTACCTAATTTTCAAGAAATTAAATGAAAAGGTGTTTTTTTTGCACATGGCTACATGCACGTATTCAATTATCAACTTCTTTTATCGTATATTCAAAACGCGACAAAACTGAAGAAAATTGCTCGCACCTTTTTATTTCAAATTATTAATATAAGAATGAAAATTAGGTTTTAATTGATTTCAAAAGCTGAGTGTGTATGGACAGTTTTTTTTTTCAAAATAACAAATATATGTTTTGCATATTTTGCGAAATTGTCATTAGCATAAGAAATTGTGAGTTAAAGTTTATATACGTAATTATAAGGAAAATAATGTATGGTTTTTGTTAAATATCAATTTCTGAAGTAAACGAAAAAATTCTAACTTTAACCTTTAATTTACAAGATGAAATTTTTTTTAGCATGCTCGTCGAGATGGTAATAATTAGTACACATTGTTATCTTCCAGTTTTCCGTACGTGTTATACGCACGCGGCACGATAACAAAATTAATACTGAGCAAGAGAGCATAAAACAGTATGAAGGGAATGTGAAAGTGTGAGAGAGCAATATAAGGGAGTATTTACAAAAGCAAAATGTTGAAAGAGTAAAATGTTCTACTATCACGTCGATTAAAAATTAATTGCTCTTCTTAATAAATTCTTAAAATATTTAGACCTAAGATTCAATTGTTATAATAAGTTAAACAGTTATTTTGTTTTAGCGCAGCTGTCAAATGCTCTACTAATTTCTTTATATCTTTATATCTATATTTCTGTTAGATATAAAGACATTAGCTCTACTTATTTTTAACAGCTGATATACAAAATATTCAAAATATTACTGAAATTATTAAATTATTATTATAATAAAATTCATTTTATATGCGATCAAATACGCAAAAAATAAAAATTTGAACTGCATATTAATTTCATAGAAATTTTAACTTCACTAATATGTAAGTTAAAGAAATTGACTCATATTGTCTACATGCATCATAAAATATAGCTAGCAATTTAATAGACCTATATATGTACATATATGTAACTCAATTATTAATTAATTTTGCATATTAAAATTTTTTATATTTAATAAATTCATAAAATACATTTTAAATTCAACGTCATTTATATTTTTATTTTATAAATGATAAATATCTTAAATATGGAATTCCCAATCAATATTAAAAAAATTTAAGAAAAGAAAAAAAAACAGCAAAAAAATTGTCAAAGCTTAAAATATATTACACGCATTTTCTATCGTCACCGGGTTTTAAAAATTTTTAAAATAGGAAAAACAAAAAACAATTAATCAAGTTTTCCGCTTTAATCATTTGTAGACACGCGAGAATATTGTGTTTTTTTTTTCTTTTTTTTGTTTCTAACAAATTTATTTATATTCACATATAGAATGTAAACAAAATGAAAATTTATTGAAATTTTATTATTCATAATAATATTATCATTTGTATTCGAACTTTAAAAATTGATATGTGAAAATTGTTAATCTAGAATCTAAAATCAAATAAAAAAGTAAATCATTTGGAAACTGTAAAATTTGCACTGCCTTCAAATTGAGAAAATGATTCCTATATTGAGAAAGAATGTACTCTTTTAATTCTTTTTTCATTTTGAAATAGATTCTTTGAAATCAATCTGAAATCTATATAGGATATCAATTATTCCATGTACACTAAGATTATCTAAAATTTAATCCGGAATATTAAAATTATATTTATGAGAAATTGAAAAACAAAACTGATGAAATTTACATCAAATTATTATTATATTTTAAATTAATGGGCACTATATAACTGTTTTTAAAAGTGGATTATAAATGACGTCAAATCTTCTTCGTATAATCAAAACATTTCACACCTATATAACATTAAATAATTAATTAATACTCTTTATACGCAAATTCATTGCCCAACATAGCATTTTGTTTTTTCTCTCTCTCTCTATTTATTTTAGTTTTTTACTTTCTGTTTTTTCTTAAGAAACATGAAATACGTTTGCATCAATCGGAAATTCCAATTCCTTCAGTTTCCTATATTTATGTATATCAAAAAAATTTGTTTATCTATTACCATATTCGTTATATTTTTACATATATTTCTAGAAAATTTTTTTATTTTTAAATAATTTTTGGCACATTTTTATTTAGTATTCATTTTAAGAATTTTAAGTTTATTTATAGATAATTTTAGCACAATTTAAAAAATCTTCTATTGAATTTTAATCAATTTAATATTATTATAGATCTGATCTAAGCTATGTTATGACTAATTATTATCTAATATACTAGGATATTTTAGTGTAAAAATCAATAAATTCATGTATAATTTGAATAACACTAATAATATATTTATTTATTCAATATTAATGTTATAACTATGAATTTACAAGGAATAATTGGTTAAAAAATTACGCTCTGACGTAAATGTTAAAATTAATTATCAAGCAAATTTTTCATTATGGTAAGCGATTTAAAATGAAAATTGTATATAATTTTTTGTTATACATTTATATAATTTCAGGTTAATAGTATTTTTTTTAAGAAAAAATTGAAAATTTTAAAAATTTCCAATGAGTGTATTCGAATTTCGTACGCATGATTTTTTTTTTTCGAAAATGAAATTGAGAAAAGGCAATATGGATGATCAATAAGGTAGGAAAAACCTTTCTTCTTTATTCGTTGTAGAAGCATAAGATTAACACCCCTTTTTTCTAGTGCCTCTCCGGAAATTGTTTCAGATGGACGCCTCGAAGTTGACCCTCAGGTACGCTATTATTCTACCAAACTAATTTCAAAAATTTCATTCTCTTTTATAATGGCCACTAACATGTTTTCTGGTTTAATTAAAACTCATAATTTGGCATTGCTTATGCATTATACGGCCAGTATTTTATTAGTTCAGAAGAAAAGGAAGTACAGTATACAGTAAAATTACAATAAATGGAAGTTTAATTTTTCTATTAAGTGGACTAAGAGCGATTCGAAATCACTCATGAGTATTCACGTACTTTTTTTTTTTTAATAATTTTACCATCCGACTTCGAATTGCCGTTTTGTGAGTGAAGTGGATTTTGGTATAATACAATTATAAAATTTATTAAATTAAAATTGATCTGTTGAATTGAGTTCAGATGTCTGAATTTTCTTTCGTTGATTTAATACATTCTATATGTTGCACATATTCGATTGAGGAATTTTCCTCCATAATAGTCTTTCGTATTTTTGTAACAGAAATACGATTTGCAACAAATTGTTGAGTTGTAACCAAATATTTACCAGCATATTTTAATAATTTCTCTATAAAAAAATTAAATAATTAATTAAATATTTTTTATGCCAAGTACTAATATCGTATAAAAACATTAGTACTTGGTATTAAAGAAACTAAAGAAACATTATCCAAATTTCACGTACAGAAATGAAAATGATAGTGAAAAAAGAAGGTACATAACGTATAAAACCAGTTTTGTTTTTGTTTTTTTTTTGTTTTATTCAATTTAACAAATTATCGTTATTTCTTTTTTTCATTTTTAAAGAAAAATAATAAAATTCAAGGTTAATTCTTTTCTTCTTTTTTTTTTTAAAATTCACGTGAAATATAAAAATTTGAAGAAGAAAAAGAAGCAAAACAGAAAAAAAAAATTAAATGAAATAAAAATAAATTGTATCTTAATTTTTTTTTAATAAAATTTTTTAATTTCGTTGTCGCAAGACCTTAATATCACGGTTAAGTTTAATTTAAAACGCACATAAATATTAATATATAAAAAAAAACATGCAATTCATTTTAACTTTATACATAATATCATATGTCTTGTAACACATGTTAACATGTATGTGTACATACGTAAAATAAACATTATGCCTTATATGTGCATACACATATATACATTTAACTTTGTAATAATGGCATAACCGGATTTTTTCTCATACATACTATTTTCTTAATGTTTAATATTCTGTGGTCAAAAATATATATGTATATGTATAGAAGTACATATATAATTAAATTTCACAATTTATTTTTAAAAATTATATAACATTATTTAACATCACTTCTTAATATCAAAATTAATAACAATTTATTTAATTTACTTATATGAATTTGTTTTTCAATAACTCAAACTTCTCTTAAAATATTCATAATAGTACATTGCAATTCTAAATTTCAGTTAGTTTATTATTTAGGGAAGGGAAAATATTAGGTTGGAATCCTTGCAATTCAATTTTATTTGAAAAAAAAAAAACAAAGCTCCGGAGTCACTCTCTTTTTAAGTTCTGACTCATTTTTCTTTCATTTAAAATCTAAAACTGAATTTTTTTTCCAAATAACAAAAAATTTTATTAAATTTTTGCATGAAAGTAAGAGTTATTTGAGTATTCTTAAAGCAAAAATAATAAGAACGTATGTATATGAGCAAAAATATACTTAAAACGTTAGCGGACACTAAAAAAATTACTGAGCTGAAAGAAAACTGAAAGAGATTTTATTTATTACAAATATGTAAGCGATATCTAACAATTTATGTAGTAGGAATATTAAAATATTAACGTATAGCTTTCGTATATGTCCCATTTCCAATTTGCAGAAACTCCAATGCTTTAGTATTTACATCCGCAAGCTATTAAGCGACTAATCAAAAACCTATATTATAAATTATTAATATAAATAGAAAAAAATCATTAAAATTTTTTGCCAACACTTATTTTATAAGACAAAAGAATTTGTCGAAAAAAGTGTGTTAAATATTTAAAAAAACATAATTTCTAAAAAAAAAAAAATTATTTTAAATAAAAGCAGAAAACCAGATTATCCAAAAATAAAATATTCTTGTTTTAACTAAAAATCCAGTTCTTCTTTCTTTTTTTTTTGAACTAGAACTTATTCATTTCATTTCTTTATTTAATACTTTGTATATTCATTGAATTCTAGTTTGTAAATTTAAAAATAAATTTAAAGTTCTATAATTACAGTTGTTAAAGAAAACATTGTATAACAGAATTAAATTAAAATGATTTTAAAAATTCATATCAGATTTTGTTAATTGACATTATTACTTAATATGAACACAACTCTTTCTCATCAATATTAACTAACTAGATTAGATCTAATATCAAAAAAAAAGAAATAGTTTAAATTAAAATTTAATATTTGAAAAATAAAAAATATTCTCTTATATTATATTTAATTATAAAATAAATTGAAAATAAATTGATATTAATTAGTTAATTTAATAAAAGTATTCCCATTTCATATTGTTCCGTCTAAGCAATTCAAATTTTGAAAAGTGAAACTATAGTCTTATAAAATTGCGAGATTGTTTTTTTTAAATCAAATTAATATCAGTGTTATAAAAATATATGCATTGTATAAATATCATACAATATAATATGAAAACAATCAATGTATATACAAAACCTTACAAATATATATATTTTTATATACATTCCTAAAAGCTCACAACTATATACATAGATCTAATAAATATTTTACCCCTGAACTTAACATTATGTATACGTAATGAAAATTCAAATAAATAAATCATACTAAGATATTTTCTTATTCTTGTAATATAATATTTATTATGATTTTATATACTAATAAATTACTATTTGTGAATAATATTATAGGGAATTCCATAAAACAGGAAGTTTTATAAAATAAACAATAAATTTACAATTTACCTACTATAACTTTTGATATAGCGTCACAAGTCATTAAATTATCAATCATATTATTTAAAATTTATACTATAGCTGTGGTTACAAATTAAATATACATATACATAACGAGAAAAAATAGAGTTGACCGTGTCAACTCTGTGATACCCTTACGAATTTGTTATCTTATGTGCGAATAAATATGTCATACCTGAAAAGGGACAGCTCTGACTTTAAGTTATACCATATTAATTTATGCAAAATTTCAGTACTGTGTTTTCAATATTTTCTAAGATGATATGGCCAAACTGAGTTGTATATCTGCTACCAGAAAGGTCCAAGCAATTTCAACGATTTTTATTAAACACGTTGGCCCTACTAATATATTCACTTATTTCAATATCATAGCTTTAATAGTTTCTGAGATATAGCCAAATAATTTCTGAAGTTTTATGGCAGCTAGCCGAACCAGTATCCCGATCATATCTAAATAGAGTTCTGGCACTTACTACAATAAATCATTTGTGAAAATTTGGTGAATTCAGCTCAATTAGTTTTTGAGTTATCGTAGGGACGGGCGAACGGACGGACGCACGGACAGATAAAGCTAAATCGACTCAGAATTCGACGCTGGTCAAAAACATACACTTGAGTCTATATCTAAGACCGTTATTTCTTAGCGCTATAAACGGTAAGGCAAATTTAGTATACCCTTCGAACATACATTCGTACGGGTATAATGACAATATTACACTCATAAGTTAAAACTCTAATGAGTCAATATTAACAAACGTGTATATTAATTTTAAAATGAATTATTTAATTTCAAATGTTCAAATGTGATTGATGAAATGCTTTTTTCTTATGAATTTTAAAGAATTAATTTGTAATTTGTTAATTTATTTAGAAAATTTAAAACGAATATTATTTTTTAATTCTGTGGTTCTAAAAAAATACTTAAAAAAAAAAAATCAAGTTTCGATTAGATTAATTTCAAATTTACGATTAAATTTTTGAGAACAAAAATGTAGCTCTATAAATATACTTTTATTCAGATTTTTGGAACTATCAGTGAAATAAACTATAAACAAATTTGTAATTAATTTTCAAAGAATTAATTAATTTTTAATTAATTTTTTTTAAACAAGATTAAGTATTCCGAAATTCTTACTAAATGTTTTGCACGTAACCACAGAATTACTATAATTATGATAATCGAATTTATGTTTCCCACCTTAATTTCATTTGAAATTCGAAATTTTATGAATTCATTTTGAACAATATATTTTTATTTACGTAATATATTAAAAAATGATTTTAAATTTACCTTGATTTATTATCTCACAATTAAAAAGATGCGAACAACGTTTTGTCTAAATAAATTTAAGTATATTTTTACTGTATATAAAATATATATATGCAGAGATATTTTTTTAATAAAATATATTGCAAATTTACTATAGTTAGCATAGTTTTAAAATTTTATTAAGTTTGATTATATTCTTATAATGTAATAAATTGGCTGCCTTCTGGGACATTACCCGCAAAATGTCATCAAGGAATTAAATTCCAGTGAGTAACCAGAAAGCTAACCAAAGACTGATTACCAAGAAGTAATTGCGCATAATTACCTATTTAATGACTTGATTTCCCACTGGGATATGTTTTTATATATATTATATTATTAACGATACTGAATCCAAATATATAATTTTGATAGTGATTTTTATAATTTTCCTTAAATGACATTTTAGCATTGACTAACATAATCTATGTTTGTCAATTGCATTCGCAGCATTTCAAATATATTAACATTATTATGTTCGTTCATTGTACCATATGAAATGACTCTAACACAATAATAATAGGAGCGATAGTTATAACAGTGATAATAATACATGTATGTATGCATAAATTTGTTTCAAAAATGTATGTATGCATAAATTTGTTCCAATAAAAGGAAAAATTATTATTACACTAGTATTTTATTGAGAAAATAAGTAGAATCGGTGAGAATTTTTTATATTTAAGAATAAAATTTAATTATGTAATTCAAATATCTACTCTAATAGTATGTAATAATGTCATAATAATGTAATACATTTAATATGTATGTATATGTAACTGTATATATGTAATATGATTACATTTAATTTTTTAGATCTTTCTACTATATACTAAAAAAATATTAAAAACACAAAAATTCTATGTAAAAATACTTTTTCTATATTACTTGTTTCTTAGTCAAAATTTCTTAATAATAAATTTTCTAATAATATTATTTTCTATATAACCTGACCATTGGTGCAGTGATTATGGCACCGGTCCTTTAACCAAAGGGTCTCGTTCAAAAATTATATTCAATATTATAGCTTAATATTAATACTTATAAAATAGTAAATTAAAATAGTATGCAAGTAATTTTCATACATTCATAATATTCGATATAAAAAGTAAGAAAAATAAAGAATAAATATAATAGCCTTAAATATTTAATATAAAGAAAAAAAAAACTATGGCAGGTTAGTCACCTATACCTAGTTAAAAATTGATGATGCAATGAAACTAGGGCATGATTATCTAAGATGTCATGCACTAGCCCTATACACCTCCTAGGAGTGGAAAAAATAAAATTTGATTCAATTAAAATTAAGGGTAATCCATATTACAAAAATAATTATTATAAAAATAGAAAATCAAAGACAATTTCATTCAATTATATTTAAATGGTGAAAATAAATACAATGATAATAAATTTTCTGATTAATTTGATTATCATTTTAATTATTTATTAAATATTAAAAAAAAAAACACAATATTTTGAAATAAAAACGTCACAATTATATTATCAAAATTAATATTATAAAGTTCAATGTACAATTATTAATATTAATTTACTTAAAATTGGAGGCGTTTTATATTTTGATAAGAATTACAAAATATGTATATGTATACTTTGTATTAAAACCTTTAAAATAACATATAGTACTAATATATACTTCTATAGTAAGTATACTAATAAGTACTTGTATATTAAACATTTACTTACTTTTTTCATTATCATTTTTTGTTATTGAATTTTTAATAGCAAAATTATATTCAAATTTAATTAATATTATTAAAATAAATATAAATAATAATTTATAATATTTCATATTTATTTTTCTTTATTTTTTTTTAACAAACTAATAATTTTTTTAAAATTAATAATTAATTGTAATTTTTTTCTTATTTTCGTTTAATTATTGCATAACACAATAACATAATTAAAAAATTAAATAAAATTATATATTTTTTTTTTATGTGAACATTCGCAAATTATAATATTATTAATGATTATAAATCAAAACTCCAAAATCTTTAATTAATACTGGAGTGAAACAGACGATAAAATTTTGCGACTTTTATAATTTTTATAATAATTTTTTTTATTTCTTCTAAATGATTAACATTGATTTAAATATTTGTAATCAGTAAACTTTTATAATAATTATAACTATATAATATTGTTATACTTTGACTATATTTAATTATAATTTAAAATCACAAAAAAAAATTTTATATATTTATGTATATGCAAATATGTGTGTATTTTCTTTTTTAATATTAATGCTAATGTTATTATACGTCTCGAATCATCAGCGGACGGTTAATTACTGACTGATTCTGTTGGTCAACTGTTATGGAATAAACTTAATGAAATAAAATAACAATAATAATAAAAAAAAAAATAAACTTTAAGATTTTGTGTTTTGAGAAGAGAATTAAAAAAAAATATGAGTAGATTTTATAATTTAAATTTATAAAACAAAACAAAAAAAAAAAACAAAAAGTAAAAACTTAAAAAAAAAACTCATGTGAGAATTTATTATCAATACAAAGTCAATGTTAATGAAATTTAAAATATTATTATTATTATGTATACTAGTACATACACTTTACACACAAATATACATAAAAGTAATTTGAGATACAAATTAAGAAATAAAATAAAATAAAAAAACCCGACTTACAAGTTAATATACTAGAACAGGGATGGCGAACCTAAGGCACGCGTGCCCAAGGTGGCACTCGTCTCTACTTTTCCTGGCACGCGCTAATAAATACTTTAGTGCAAAATTTTTTTAAATTTCCGATATTATATTTGCTTAAAAAATAAAAATTATATTTGCTAAAAATTGTTTCCAAAAATTTTTTAAGTGAAGCCTGTATTTCCTTTAAAAACAACTAATTATCATCCTGATATTGATGAAAAAAATCTCATTAATTCTATATTTATAATATATGTATGTATAAATAAGATTATGTCAGTTATAAATAAATCGACATATTTGTGTAAATGACAAATATGTTTTGTTTATTTTAAGGCACGCGAGCATTTTCATTTTTCTAAAATAATTATGTTTTGGCACGCAGTCCGATAAAGGTTTGCCATCCCTGTACTAGAATATTAAATATCAGTCGACTAACTTTTTTCATATAACTATCATAATCCATTAAGTATATAAGAAGAATAAAATTTTATATAAAAAAAGAAAAATCATATTAACTATTTGATAATTTTAAAAAATTTTACATTAAAATTAAATTAACACAAGTATAACTTAATATTTTAGCAATTTTTGGTATATTATCATTTTTCTTACAATGTGTGTATTGAAAATTTATTTAAAAAAAAAAATAAAAACAATAATTTATGGTAGGCGCTCGATTCAATGGATATAGATTGCAAATTTTAATAGAAATTGGTCATGTATAATTAATGAAAATTATTTAAAACAAGTTAATATTAATATAATGCCACATTATCAGTTAGGTATTATAAGAATTTTATGCGTTCTTAAAATAAATAGAATTAAAATAAAAAGCGAACTAATACCGATAATGAATGCTTTCAAATATCATGGTTCAAATCATATCGTCAAACGGGAAAATCAATGGGGACGTAAGTAGTCGTGGGTTAATGCTGGCTGCATGAAGTGGAGGTCGGTTACAGGCGTTCTTGTATGATAAAAAATTTCCAATTAAACTAAATGGCAAAATCTACAAATCTACGGCGGTCAGACAAGCTCTTATGTATGGAATGGAGTGCTGATTGGCAAATAAAACACATGAAAAAAAGTTATATGTCGCCAAAATGAGAATGTTAATGTGGTCCGCAGGCGTGACGTAACAAAAAAAGATACGAAGCGAACACCTCAGGGGTACCTTCAAGATTGCTGACATTAAAGAAAAACTATTAGAAAAACGAATGAGATGGTACGATCATATCATGCGTCGAGACAAAGAGCACCCTTGACATTGCAATACCTAAGAGAGGACTAGGAAGACCATCAACAACAGGACTAGGAATAGTCAATAGAGATATGTAGAAACCACGATTAAACGTAACGACAACTTAAGACAGATGTTCTTGGATCACGGAAGGCCGACCTCAAATAAAGGAAAAGGTCATTAAGAAGAAGAAGATTAAATAATTTACAGTTTAAGTTTAAATCGGTATGCGTCTTTTACAGTCATGATACATTTTGTTTCAAAGTTTTAATATTCTTAGGCAATTACGGTGTTTTATTAAATTTCAAAATAAATTATATAAAAATTTGTTTAATGATTTTTTATTTTATAATATGTACTCTCTCTCTTTATGGTTTTCGAAGACAACACTCTTAACATGTTTATTATATGTGCCTATTATACAAGCAATATTAACAATATTTTTTACAGCATTTATAACTGAACATTAATGCTAATTAAATTAGCATATTATATATACATACGTATTTTGGCATGTATATATGTATAGTATGTAGCAATATTGTTTTGATTGTCATTAAAATATAATTAAATTGCCATTCCCTTGAAATGTGTTTTTGGTTTGTTTTTTTTTGGTTCTTTTAAAAAACCATCCATGTTACTAATTTGTTTATCTTTTTTTTTTTTTTTGATATTTTGCTTTTGGGTAATTCCCATCAGGTACTTTTACCTAGGTAAAAAATATGTTGAAAGAATAATATAAAAACAGGTAACTGTTGGAAATCATGATTATCTTATAAAATGATATAAAAATTATAAATGAATATTTTCTTTCTAAAAGAATTTTAAATTAAATTTTAAAATGAGAATTCAAATTATGAGTGATAAATTTCAACAAAATATGTTTATAGCTCTATAATTATGTACTCTCTGTATAAGTGCTCTCTATATACTCATATTATATTAAAATTTTTATATATTCTGTTAGAATAGTAGGAGGAAAGAAGGATTAAATTAAGATTTACTATTCAGATCGGATTGAAATTTTAATTATAAATGTATGCCGTACTCGTAAGTAAGAATATTTTTTTGAACGGGATTTAAATTTTGCTTTTAAGTTTTCGTCTTAAATCTTTTGTTTTTTTAAATTTTTTAAAAATATATTTTACATTTTATTAATTTTGAGTTATAATTTTTTAAATGTGATTATTTTTGTTATCATTTTTTCTGTTAAAATTATTCAGAAATAGAGAATAGAGAGTTTCTTATATACAAGTTATTTTTTGTGTAATGATTGTGTGTGTGTGTGTATAATTTTTTACAATGTGTTTCATTAAAAACGATTTGCAGTAGGTACACGACTCTTTATAAAATAAAAACTATTATTTTTATTTAATACTTTTTTAAAATGTTATTTATTTCAAGTTCAAATTTATTTATTTAATTTTCTATTAGTTTAAATACCTATATTGTTTGTTAGAACTTGTTTAATTTTGATATATTATAAACTAGTTTTTGATTGATTAGAAATGCGAGAAATTAAGAGAGCTCTCTTTATCAACAAATGAGTAATTAGTCAAACAATCGCTTTTTGATCAATTTTAGAAGAAAATTAAGTGACTTAACAAATATCAATTACTAAATCCTTATTGTGTTAGAACAAGTTTGTTTCAAGTTCTCTCAGTTTGTTTATTTCAAACTCTCAAACAGTTTTGCTATACACTTCAAAATCGCTATACTTAAAAATTGAAATTTAAAAATATTTCGATTTTAAAATAATTATTTCTAAAATAATTATTAAAATTTAATTGATTTTATGATAATTATTTACGATATTACATGAATTTTTGAGCAATGCCGCTTAAAGAATTCAACAATCAAGAAATCATGTATACGTGTTCGTCAGCAATATTGTCGGCAATGTAATATTCTAATTTGTTTTATAGTTAAGGTGGTATGGGGCTAAATTCAGGATTTATTTCATCATTAAATCATTATTACTTATAAATTAGAAATGTTAAAATTTTATTAATAAAGGTTAGTTTAAAAAAAATTAAATTTTAACTTTGAGTTTTTGATTCATTAAAATTCAACAAATTTTCATTAAATACTTAAACTTCCGAATCATAATAAAAATAACAAATTTTTTAATATGATCTCTTCTCATTTCTCAGTTTCTCAGTATAGTGTCTGAAAAATGAACTTATAACTTATATTATTTTAGTGTATAATTTTCTAATGTATATAATTCACATCTGATTATATAAATATGTAATTTAATGATCATACATAGTTGTAAAATTAAAAATAAATTGTTGAAATTTATAAAATTCAATTTTACTTTGACTCTACTATATATAACTGTATATATATATAAAAATTATTTAATGTGTTATACATATCTAACTTTTTACAATTTTAAGTTTGTACATTTTAGAATAATATTAGTATAATTCTAATCGAATTTTTAGTTAGTCAATATTATTTGGTGTATAAAAAACTCATAAGAAGAGAAACCGAGTATTAAAAAAATTAAAACAAAAGAATTGAGATGAAAAAATTATAAACTTGCAAAGAATTCTGGATTTTCAATTTAAAACGTGGAAGTATATAATATAACATTTTAGTTAAATTTAATTTAAATATTTAAAAATTCATAGATGTTTAAACTATAAATGTTATAATGTTATAATATAACATTATAACATAAAATGTTATAATATAACTATAGGTAATAATATCCTCTACACGCACGTATAAATTATTAAAAATATTTTGCTAATACTTTTTCATAATTAAAATAACAAATTTGAAATTAGAAGTTCCTTAAATATTCATGTACTCGTATCATTATAAATCAATTACAATAATATAATTTTAATTATATGTTGACCCATATATATAATAATATTTATTTGTATTGAAAAATATCAATGAAAGATATGTTTTACATTATCAAACATTCTTTATTAGTTTTGTTTGATTTGAATCAAGTTTTACAAAAGTTTGATAATAGTATGAAATACCGGAAATTTTGTTTGATAGAGAAAAATTAGCTAATATCAAATAAAGTACTGAATTCTCTTCAAGTAAATGATAACCGACAGAAATTGTCACTTATGAAAATGACACATTGTCACCATTATGAAAATTATTTAACACAGTGTGTATAGAATAAATTTAAAATTCTAATATGTAAAACTAATCATAATAATATATATACAAACATATATTGTTATAAATAATTAGAAAATAAAATACGTGATTAAAAAAAAGTAGGTAAATTGTTATAAATTTTTTCATGCAGCTACAATAATTAGAATTTGGTTATATTAAATTAAATCACAAATATTTTAAAAAGACTTAGCCCTCTTATTATACTTAATTAAATAATATCATTCCTATAATGATATAGATCTTCCATGATATTAATCTGGATAATCTATAATTCGATAATCTTAAAGAATACCATAATATACATGTTTTCACTATTTGAGAAAAGATAGTATAATTTTTTTCAATTCACAATGATCGATTTAATAAAATTTCTAGTATTTATATATATAACTTCAATAATTCTATATTAAAATTGAATTCGTATATACGTGCATAATTAATTGATCTTTTAATAAAACTGTATAAACAAATCAGTAATTAGTAATTTATTTGATTCAAATGAATCAACACCTTTTTTTCCGAAAAATATTTGTTTTTGTTTGCTTTTTGTTGGCAAGTTACTTATTAAAAAATCATTATTATTATAAGCATATGCATACCGAAGAACACCTACAATATCTATTAATTTTTTGCTATATTATTTCATTAGATTATAATTTCTAATTTTACTATATTTATCAATTCGATATATGTATACACATACATAATATATATATGTATATATACATTTTATTATATTTTGTTGTAGAAGATATATACATATATTATATATTATATATACTTAAATAATATTTAACAATAGAAACGTTTTCTAAATAAAATATTTACTCGCAATACAAAACAAAACAAATGGTAAAAAATTTTACGATAAGGAATTTTATCATCTGTTATATTTGAGTATGATAGAGACATACATATGTATATCTGATATAATGTATGTAATTATACCCGTACGAACGTATGTTGGAAGGGTATACTAAATTTGCCTTACTGTTTGTAACGCTGAGTAATAATGGTCTGAAATATAGACTCAAGTGTATGTTTTTGATCAGCGCCGAATTCTAAGTTGATTTAGCTTTGTCTGTCCATCCGTTCATCTCAGCGATAACTCAAAAACTAATTGAGCTAAGTTCACTGAATTTTCACAAATGATTTATTGTAATAAGTGCTAGAATCCTATTTAAATTGGATTTGATCGGGGTACTGGTTCGGGTAGCTGCCATACAACTTCAAAATTTATTTGGCTATATCTCAGAAACTATAATTGCTATGGTATAGAAATTTCACAGAAGCGGATATATTAGTAGGGCCGATGTGTTTGATAAAATTTGTTAAAATTGCTTAGCTATTTCTGGTAGGTGCCATACACAACCTCAATAATAGTTTGGCACACACAGTATTTTGAAAAACCCTACTGAAATTTTGCATAAATTGATAGGGTAATACGCACATAGGATAACAAATTCGTACGGGTATCACAGAGTTGACAAGATCCATTTTTTCTCGTTTTTTTATGAATTTTTAAAGACTGCTTTCCTTATCACTGATAAGAAAACAAAAACAAAAAAATATTAATTTTATTATTCTTTTTGTTTCCCTTTTTTTTTGCTTTCAAATTAATTCTAGAATAAAAAAATATTAATATTTTATTTTTATATTTTATTTTGTAGATGGTAGACGTTAAAAGACAATGACATTAAAATAGCGAATTTTTGGAGAAAATAAAGAAAAATTTAAAAATAAACATAACCTATTTTTAAAAGAGCGGTAACAAATAATAACGGATCCAAAGTGCAAATATATTTAATTATTTATGTATTTTTTTTTTATTTAAAAATAAAAAACATTTTACAGATGTTCGAACAAAAAAATAATGAATATTTCAAATTAAAATCGAAAATTATTTTCAATTCACAAAATTATTAAACGCGTATATTCACAAACACTACGCAAAATTCAATGTTGACATTGAAATTTTATTTGTATAACAGTTTTGTAATAAATTTATAAAACAAAATAATTATTATAAAATGATAATTGCAATTAATATAAATTAATTAAATTTTAATTAAAAATTGATAATGAAAATTGTAAGTGAAATATGATATTACAATAAGTTTTATTATACACATGATATGCTAAGCTTAAAAAATACAAAAAAAAAGAGTGTAAATTAGTAAAAAAAACACAATGATATTAATAATTTAGAATAAACTAGATATTTTATACATGAAATTAATATTTAAGTATAAATTATTAATAAATCTAAATAATGAATTTAATAGAATTAAAATATTAACAAAATAATATTTAAGATAATTGTGATATAAATTATAAGAATACAAAGAGGGTGGAAAAAGATTATAATATTGAATTACATGAAAAAAAATAATAAAAATAATATAAGAAAATTTTATACCCTTTATATTATATGATAAAATTACAATATTAAAAAAAATAAAAATTTTAAACTGGAAACTCAATATTTTATATCGAATAAAGTATAGAAGAAGAAATATCGTAAATTATATAATATCAAAATGGTGACGATAAATCGAAGACTTCTACCTATTAAATTTCATTATTTTTTCTTTATGGCTGGTAAGTTTTTATTAAAAATATTAGAATATTAAATATAATACTTACATGCTATATGTATATATATACAAATATTATATTAATATATAATACATAGACATTATATTATTAATGAATTAAGTGAAAAAAAATCATCAAGTTCAAAATCCTTTTTAATTGTTCAAATCAAAAATAAACAAGTAAAAACGTTTCAGTCGGTATAAACTGACCGAATAATACCCTGCACGTTAGCAATCTGAGTTTACAATTTATTTTTGAAATATCTAGAATTAGCTCTAATTGTTATATACCAAGTATTCGAACCAGACAAACCACTCTATAGAAACTGCATGGATATGTCTGACCTACTTATAATTGAAAACATAACTGCAAAGTTTCCTGAATCCAACTCTATTATTTTTCTAAATCATTAAAATTTGCTTTTGGAGATGTATGGCAGCTACTCGAATTTGTTAAGTCGTTCCAACAAAACTTCAGGGATATATGTGACTTATAATTGGACACAGGACTACCAAATTTAGTGAATTTCACTTTAATATTTTTTTCCAAATATTTAAAATTAGCTTTTAGAGTTGTATGGTAGCTACCTGAACCAGTGCAGCCATTCCATTAAAACTTTCAGAACATATGTAGAATGTAATTGGACACATTTTTGCAAAATTCGATATTGATACCTTTATTAGTTTTTGAAATATTTAAAAAAAAACCTTTTTGAGTTGTATGGCAGCTAACCGAACCCGTTGTTGGAATGGACCCAATTATAATAGCAGCCGTCGTTTGCGCAAAAGAAGCAACTTGTGAAGTTTGGTGACGATTTCTTTATTCGTTTTTGAGTTATCGTGCGATCGGACGGACGGACGGACGAACAGGGCTTAATCAACGCAGAATTTTACGCTGAGCAAGAATATGAACCGGAGATGACTCCTTCAAGTGGTTACAAACTCCATACCAAAGTGAATATACCCTTCACGAAGTGCAGGGTATAAAAATAAATAAATATTTTACGTACATACTAAATACGAGTACTTGAAGTAAAAGTACATTCTACTTGAATTAAATGAAATAAATGAAAAAATTTTAATTTCTTTTTATATTTCCCTAAATTGCTTTTAGGTTTAGATTCAAGAGATTTAAGTTGATAAAAAAAATATATATAGGTCCTTATTATGCGAATCGGCGAAGCGAATAAAATTTTTGGCGAATATGAATTTTTTCTATTAGGATTAGCGAATTCGCTTAAATTTAAAGTGAATTTCTTAGCGTATTAAGCACTTAAAAAATTTTCAAATAAATTTTTTATATAATTAATAATATATATAATATGTATGTATGTATATGTGTATAAGTTCTTAAATAATTTTTGATAAAAGAAAAACTATTATCAATTTTTGATAATATTTTTCCTATTTATTTTAGATAATCTATATTATTGTCCAAATAAATATTATCACTATTTTAAAACTACTTATAAGTGAGTTTGAAAAAAAATATTTAAGTAATAATATTAAGTGCTTTAATTTAAAAATATTGTGATTACTCACATAATTTTTATACTAAATATAATTAAGCAATAAATAAAAACAACAACATCGCAATGTGTAAAGGTCATTGAATTCATATTAAGCAAACATATACGTATATATACATAATGTATGAATCTATAGTATACATTATGTCAAATATCTTTTCGTCAATTTTTCAAATTTGGCGTTAGCCTTAAAGTACACACATATATACGTATAACAATAAAATATACTTTTTATATTTTAGGTACACGCATACTTAAATATAAATATTATTTATTTTCTCTTAGTACTATTATACTATTATACTATATATACTTATTATATATACATATACAAAAAGTATATCTATCCAAATTTTACAATTTTTTATCTTGGGAATTAAAAATTTTATAATATTAATGAACTATATACATAATAATCTTAAATTCATTAAAAAGAAAATTCAAATTAGGTATAATAAAATTAAATAGTTTAAATATAATTATATAGGTATATATATATACATATATGTATATTACTATTATATAAATTAATATGTTGCTAATCAAATACCATAAAATGTACAATCTCCTTATATAAATAAAGAGCGGGAATTTCGCAAATTTGTTTTGTGTCATACAGACACTTTGAAAAATAAAATTATTTAAATATAAAAAACATATCTTATGTATACAAGTAAGTTTTTTTTAAAATATAGCATTCTTTATAAGTATATTTTAGTATTAAATATAAGAAAAATAAATATTAATTTAATTAAATAAAACATTTGTAATTTCGCATATTTATACTGGTGATCTCACTAATATATCAATTTTATATTTAACAATTCTTATACGTATAATTATTTATACAGTCTTCTTAAAATTTAATATCTACATTTCTTATGATTTCTTATAATTAATAATAATTCTTACTGTATACAAATTATAATAATATACAGTATGTTAAATAATAATATACAGTATGCAAATAACTTAAAATTAACTTACTTTGGTAGGCGCAATATGCTTGCCGGTAAATATCATGAATAATTCGATTTTGACAAATTATATTTGTTGTACTAAAATTTTATTCAAATATAAATTAAAATTATTAATAATTTACCATTTACGATTTACCCAAAAAAAGGTTAGTATACTTGGTTTTAAAGTGCCATTTGCATTTACCCAAAAAAAGTTAGTATACTTCCTACTAAAAGGTATTTAATTTTGATACTTCTAAATTAAGAAATTGCGAAGAGTTAGCGAGTAACATTTATTAGAAAAAATCTAAAGTCCTAGACATTTTATAAATATTATACAGTGTACCATTTCTAAAGAGATACTAGATAAAAGTAATATAAATATAAAATTAATCATAACTCATTAGCTTATATACATACTTAAATTTGACATTGTAATAACTGTAAAAATAATTCTACTTAAATAATAAAAACATTATCACAGTATTACTTTCGGCAAACGTTAATAGGTTTTGTAAGAAATTGACAAAAATAAACAAAAAAAAGTATTGCCAAATGTTTGCTTTCACCAAACTCTTAGCAAATTGTTCGCTGGAAAGTGTCTTGCCAAATAAACCATTGGGAAAAAGCGATAATTTTTATTCTATGTTGAAATTTAGCATACAAAAGATCTTTCTTTTTCTCTTTTGAATTGCTGTTAAATTTTTCTTTATTTTATTCAAAGTAATATCTCCTTCTGATACGCATATTATACAGATTCCAACTAAAGGTAAAAAAAAAAAATTTTTTTAAGGAAATTGATGGAAAATACTTCCAGTTTTGATACGTTAATGAAAAAAATTTTACTTGCGGTGTTGGTTCATTGCGCTTCCATCTTTTCGTACATTTTTGAAGTTACATTTCGGGAAATTTATCGGAAAATAGAAGTTGTAATGTAATGCTAAACTTCCAGTTAAAATTCCATTTCGAGACATTTTGGAAATGAAGCTCTTACTCGTTTTATAATAAAAATGTAAAATTTATATTTATTAAATTGAAAACAAAGATATTATTTAATTTAAATTAATAATTTAAATTTTATTATAAAGAATCTAATATTAACAATTATTTCTTTTTCATTTCATTATAGCAATGGGTCCAATATTGCCACAACTATCTGTCTATGGAAAACAGTTAGGTGTTAGCTCGGAAATAATGGGTTATATAACATCTTTTTTGCCAATTTTATATGTTCTCGCTAAACCAGTTGCAGGCTTTTTAGCTGACTATTTTTCGGTATTTCTTGTTAAAATCAATAATATTAATAATACATATGCATATATTTATATATGTATGTATATTTTTTGTATTTTTTAGAATTGTCGCAAATTCATTTTTGTATGCATTATTCTTATAATGTCTTTATCATATTCTGGTTTCTACTTTATTCCACCAGCACCACCACATAAAATTGATATTAAATCAAATTTTAGTTTTTCTGTTCTAAGCGGTGATTTGAATATATGTGATGATCAGGTAAGTTTTTTTTTATTTTTCTTAATTCTAAAATATTTTAATTTTACTTAATGATTTTTGTTTTAGATCAATATCAGTCATGAAGCTCAATGTTCTATTACAAGACATTTAAATTGTACAATTTTATCATCGGACATTGAAACTCCAATTAAAAATTTTAAAGCTTATATAAGCAGTTTGAAAGAAAATGAATCATCTACATTTATAAAAGATTTAAATTCAAATGAAACATTTAAATTTTGTGTTCCAAATATAACAATTGATTATAATTTAAATTTTATATGTAATATTGATGATATTCCTGAATGCTTGTATAACACAGCAACATTTTGGATATATTTGATATTATTATGTTTGGGAACAATTGGTTATAATGTAACAAATAGTATAAGTGATGCAGTATGTTTTGATTTTCTAGGAGATGAAAATGAAATGAAATATGGTGCACAAAGAGTTTGGGGTACAATTGGTTTTGGAATATCAGCATTAATTGCCGGAATTGCTGTTGATTTAGCATCAGATGATATAATAAAAAGTATAAGACCAGCTTTAATTATTATGTTAATTTTTACTGGATTTGATTTAATGAGTGTTTCTAAATTAAAATTACCAAAATTTTTAACATCTGAATCTATTGTACGAGATGTTTATAAACTTTTATTACAACCATCAATTTCGATATTTCTTGTATTTGCAACATTAGCTGGTATAATGGATGCTTTTATAATATACTTTATGTTTTGGCATTTGGAAGAAGTTGCTGAAGCTACAGGTTATATGGCACAAGTTAAATTAATTGAAGGTTTTGTTATAGCAGCCGAATGTTTATGTGGTGAAATACCATTTTTTCTATATAGCGGAAAAATATTAAAAAAACTTGGTTATGTTCATTGTTTAACATTATGCTTTTTTACATATTCAATACGTTTATTTTTAATATCATGGATACCAAATCCATGGTATTTAATACCAGTTGAAATGATAATGCAAGGTTGTACATACGCCTTATGTTATACATGTATTGTAGCATATGCTTCAGCGATAGCTCCACCAGGTACTTCAGCTACAGTTCAAGGTCTTGTAGCTGGAATGGATGATGGTTTAGGTTTCTCTATTGGTTCTTTTATTGGTGGTCTTTCAATGAAATATTGGGGTGGTCGAAAAAGTTTTCGAATTTTCTCAATTGGTGCCATTATTACTTGTATAGCACATTTTATATTAAGACCAGCTTCAAAACATGAAACACATCGTGCCAAACAAAAAACAAATGTTGTATATGAAATACCATCTGAACAAGTAAAAATTAATGAAAATTCATAACTAAAAATTTATACTAGTGTAGAATTTTAAATTTTATTTTTTTTATGTATGTATATGCGTAATTATGTACAAAATCGACTATAATTTAAATTAAAATAATTTTGTAAGAAAATTATACACTTTCGTATAGTAAATAAGAATTTTTACATTATATACTTATTATCAATTAGCTAAATGCTTTGATAAAAGTTTTATGCTTATATAAAATTTGTACTAGACATTTAAAAATTAAGAATTATGAGCCGAAGAGTAATAAAGATTTTTATTACTCAATTAAATGTTTTCTTTTGTATATTTATAATGGTTGTATATACTGTGATAATATGAGAAATAATAATATATTTAACAACACCAATTTAGTTTCCTCTTTATTATTTTTTCACTAAGAAAATTAAAAAGATTGAATTTTAATATTTCATTAGAAACAATCATAAATAAAATAATATTATAATAAATAATACTAGAAAATTACAGATTCCGAAAATGTTTACAATTCACCAAATATTTATTTACATGTTTTGTAAATTTTTATAGAATAAATTCATTAAGGTTACCTACTCATTCAAAATTTAATAAAATTTCACCTAAATTTCTCAGTTGCAATGAAAAAAACAAAAATTAATCGTATTTGTGAAAAATTTCGCGAATTTCCCCACACTGACTGTCAAGTCAACATTTTTTGAGTATACACAAATATATTTATGCACGTGGATTTGTAAAATAAACATACATATACTTTGATTTATAGATTCGCGGACTAGCTCCCTATTGAATGTACAAAGTTCATTTTTATAAAAATGTTTCAAAACGAAATTTCTTATTCTATAAAATTTTAAACTCTTTGATTTTGTTTACTATTTCAATAAGACGCCAAATTTCGACCTGTTGCACGATGACGTCAATTTTTAGTTATTTTCTTTTTTAAATAGATTTAAAAATAGAAAATTAGAATTTACTCTCATGTCACATAATATATTTATCTTATATTAAACTATAATATTAACTATATATGTATCTCACACGGTCTCACATTGTCTCAGTAATTAATTTTCTAAAGTAATTTGTAACAATTTTTGTATACGAAACTTTAAAAAGAAAAAAAAAATATCTATAAAAGGGGGAAAAATTGTAATAAAACGAGATAATCAAATTTAGAATTGGAATGTCAAACTTGTTTGTTTGAGGTAATTGGACTCTAATTTTCATAAAATAAAAAATTATTGAACTGTGTACATATGAGTATGTACGTATGTGTTTCAATTTTCAATATTTCAATATTTCAATTTTTAAAATAAAAAAATTTTTAATGAAATTGTTCCAGCTAAGTATATACTATAATTTTCCTAGTAAAATCAAATTTTCAAAAATATTCAAAACAAAAAAAAAATTTTAAAATTGTTATTTATTTTCAAAATTGTCTGAAATACCAGCTTCCTTAAAAAAATAACAAGAGGAAAATCAAGAATTTAAAAGAGAGTGACTGTAAATTTAGAAATTAATTAATTATGGTGTTTTTTTTTATATAGAGTGTCTTGTATCTAAGTGCATTGTTATATATTCAATTGTATAGTTTGTTTGCTGAATAGGCGAAATTTTTGTTCAAAGTTTCGTGTTACAGGTACTTAAAGTCACTCTCGACCATTTTTTTTATTAGTCTATTCAATGACTTTTTCATATGAATATTAATTTTAATTATAATTTGTTCAGATTTCCGAATCAAATGTGATTTTAAAATTCAAAAATTTCAATTTTTAATTTCTTAATTTTTAAAAAAGTGTAATTGTTTTTTAATATAACGCAACATTACAGCTTTCTCTTGTTTATGCACAGCTGGCAACCCCGTTAACTAAGCTTTAATTTGATGAGTCATCTTCCTACTTTAAATGATTTATAAGTTATTGGAAAGAATAAAGTACTACAATAATGTCAACTTAACTATCGAGTTTTCCTTACATTTGCAAAAATTAATGACCCGAATGATACCATAATGGTGTGTCCTTCAATGATATAGCCTTGTAAGTTAGCTTCAATTTTAGCAATCGTTTTGCAGTCCACTTACAAAACACTCTGTATATATTCATAGAATATTTTTTTTTTATAAACAAAAAGAGAGCATCAACACTTATCATTTTTTTTTTTGTATTTATAGTAAAAATAAAAAATTACTCAAAAAATGTAAAATAAAATTTATATTGTTACCAGTTGTTACCATATTAAATTATATTTTTAATTTTATAAATTTAATTTTAAATTTAAATGAAGTAAAAGATAATTTTTGTTGTGATATGCATTTTTGGTTTTCCTTAATCAATTTAAACACTTAAATTTTGTTATATATGCCTCTACATACATGCATACATATTTTAAAATATTCATTATCACTCATTATTAAAAAATATCTTAAACCTACTTAAATATGTATAGAGAATAAGAATATTGATTCAATATAAGGTCCAAGCTACAAGGGTTAAATGTATTAGAGACCTTTTCATAAACGTAGTATATAACGATAAATGGTGGAAACTGTGCTATATTTATTTTCATAAGCTAATGTAACTAATCTGGTTTGTTTAGCGAAATTAGTTTGAGTAGCGCAGTTGAACCATATATGAACTGTTTTGATTTTATAGAATACAAGTTTAGAATACATTATTGTATTTTATAGAATACAATAATGTTTTTGCAGTCATTGTTTTGAAAGATTCCGTTTATTGAAATCTCTTTCAACTCAATATTATGTTACATATAGAACAGTAGCAACAGTGTCGTTTTTATAGAAAATTATAATACATATTAAGAATTTTTGAAACACACACTATCAAATTAATTGAACAAATAATGTTTAGGTATGCACTATTTCTTCATTAAAAATTACATAGAATTGCCCATGAAAGAGTTAATTTACAAATGCATTATACGATCATTAATATACTAGTATACATATATGTATATATATATATATTTTTACTGAAGAGTAAATAAATATTATTGCATTTATTTTTTTGGGCGCCGACAATAAAATTGAACTTTAAATTTTATAACTTGGCAAATTAACATATACTATTTACATATATAAATAAACATAAATCAAAAAATAAACATACATACTAATTTAATAATAAAATAAAATAAATGCAATAGAAAAGTCTACAGTTTTCTACCCCTTATACTGAAGTAAATTATATTTATGAGGGTGATATTTATAAAACATTTTTTTTTTTATTTTATTTTCTCTTTGATTCACTTTATTTTAAAAAAAAAAAAAAAACAAAGAAAAAAATATAAAATTAAAAAATAAAATAAAAAATCAACTTAAAAGATTTAAAATAGCCAAATGGAAACTATTCTGTATATATATACATATATATATTTGATTGTTTCTTTCACACATTCAGTTTAATTCTATCATTTATCTTGGTCGAATGATATAGAAATTAAATATTTTTCAAAAAAGTAATTTTACTCTATAAATAATGTTAAAAACGGGAAATTTACAATTTATTTTAATTTTTTTTCTAAATATTACCACAAAATTATTATTATATACAAATGGATTAATGTTACCAGATGGATATTCACCAGTTTCATCAATTCAATATTTTGATCCATGTTCATTATCACAAAAATTATTAGAAGATAATTCATTATACAATATTAATTTACCAACATGGGGTTGTGTTGAATTTAATAATATTGATGATATTAATCGTATATATACATTAAAATATTTTCAAAAATATTGTGATAATTATCAAGAATTAATAGAGGTTCCTTGTCCTGAAAGAAATTGGAAATTTAATAAACATCAAAATCACCAACAACAGCAGCAGCAGCAGCAGCAGCAACGTATTAATGAAAATAATAATCAAATAATAATTAATAATAATGATAATAATAATAATTATAATGGTATTAAAATGAAAAGACGACGATCTGCAGTAATTGAAAGAAAGAAACCGTATGTAAAATGCGTAAAAATTTTTCCAGAAAAAAGTACCAAAAATCATTGTTTTTTAATTAAAAAACATTCTAAAAATAACAATTTTATTTCGAATTTTTTCATATGAAAATTATTTAGAGCTTTTTTACTTATTTTTTTTTTGTTTTTTTTTTTGTTTTTTGGATCAATTAATAAAAGTAAAAATTTTATATGCTTTGAGCATTTTTTCCGCATTGAATATTTGTTGAAGAATATCGAATATTTTATAAGTAAAATAAAAATTTATAATGCTTATATTTTCGATAAAATCTTATAAAATCATTAAATATTAATAAATCTGTGAAATATATATATATTTTATAAATTACTTGTATTATGTACATACATATATACAAATTCAAAAGTTTTAAATTTGTGGAAAACTTCATCGATAAATTCATAATTTTTAAAAATACTTATTTCATATTTCATTTATTCGAAATAATAATTAACACGAAATAAATAACAAATTAGTTACTCCTACTATAATTATTGTAATACAAAGCATTGTTCGAATTTGAATGCGAGTGAAATTTTATTTTTATCTAGAATGTTTTTTTTTTTTTTTTCAATTAATTAATTTTACATATATAGCGTATATGAAATTGCGAAATTAAAATTTGTCTTGAAAAACTGAAGCTCAATTATAAGCTGAAAAGTAATTTAATTATTATAAAAAAATTTTGTCAAAAAAAACAAGTGATATTCAATACAAAATAATTATAATGTGTGTATAAAAATATTAAATAAAAATTAAAACCATATTAAAGGTTTTGTTTAAAGTCTGAAAAAAAAAAATTAATATTAAAAATATAATTAATAAAATTTTTGATTAAAAAAATTAATTTAGTTTCTTTTCTTTAAAATTTAGAAATCCGACTGTGGCAAATTTACTCACCCATATGAAACAAATTTTTTTTGATCAAAACTTAGTCTTTATTCATAAAGTAAAAACCTATGAAAACCATTTTAAAATGTCCTTTGTTCTTAGAATTTATTTAAAAATTTGAAGATTTTAAGATTTCAATTGGAAATTTTCGAAAATTCTGTTCTTACTGAGATTTTAATATAAAGCATATTATTCAATAAACCAAAACAAACATAATCTTTAAAAACGCTTATATATTCAATTAAATCTTTACTATAAAAGAAGAAGCACGTTCCAAAATTTTTAACATATTCAGAGTTCTAAAACGTTTTTAAAGATTTCTTCCAAAAGTTGTAAAAATATTTTAAGTTTAAACAAAATTACATTGAAAAATTAAAATTATTAAAAATCTGACAAAGTAAACTAGTTAGTTAATAAAGATCTGTATTGATAAACAAAAAAAAAAAAATGTTTAAAATTTAAATTAGAACTTTAAGTAAACATATATCTGAAATACTGAAAATTGCCATTTTTAAAAACTTTCTAAGAGTTCTTAAATCTTAGAAATTAATATCTTACAAAAATATTTATGAATTATGGTTATATTGTTCGTGAAGATCAACGAACTATTACTAAAAAACGAATTTTTAAAAATATTTTTTTGAAAATATTTCTCACGATGAAAAAAATAAAATCAATTCAAAAAGAATAAAGAAAAAAAAAATTGTCAATTTATCGGAGAAATGGAAATTAAAAATATTTTTAAAAAATATGTACTGTGATTCATATTTATAAATAACATGGTACCTATGCGATATGCTTGTAGATTGTCTCTGTTTCCGAAATGTAAATAATCTGAAGTTATACATTATATCTGAATATCTAATATTTCCTAATATCCGGAAATTAATTTTAGTTTTTTTTATCTTTAAATATTTTAATACATTGAATATGTGATATTTTGAATACGAGAAATTAATTAGAATGATTTAAATTAGTAGCCCATGTAAAATTATAAAATTTCAAGCATAAACTTATTTTTTTTTTATATAAAAATAAAATATATAACTTCATTAAAGTTTTTGAAATATTTTTATTTTTGTTTTGTCTGTTGTAATTTAATATTTATTTTTTCTTTTTGTAAAATATTATGACCAAAAAATTTTATGAAAAATTAAATTTAGATTTTGTGTATAAATAGGAAAATTAAATATTAATTTTAGTTAAATGCTTTATTGTTAATGTTTTGACAATATTGATTGTAGTTTAGTAAGAATTTAAAAAACTCTTACATTATTTTCTACAGATAATTTCAATTTTTTTTTTTTTTTAAATTGTATATGTATTAGATTTATTCTAAACGAACTTACAATAATTAGCTAGTAAAATAAAAAACAAACTTAATTTCTCGGTTAAGTTTTCATTTTTTTTTTTTCACTTTCGATTTGAAAGTTTCAACAAACCGGAATTTAAATTACTTTATAGATTTTAAAAAATTTGTGGAATTTTAATTTTTTGGTTAATAGTAATTTTTAATTGTATTTTTTTTTTGTTTTCTATGTAATGAAAACCTTTTGTGTGTGTTTTTTTTTTTTTATTCTACTCTAATGAGTTCGACATCAAAAGTTAATGTTGCATTAGGTGGAATAACACCAGGATGACCTCGGCTACCATATGCATAATCAGGTGAGCAAACTAATTTAGCTCTTTGGCCAACTGAAAGTTTCGCCACACCTTCATCCCAACCACGAATGACTTCACCATTACCAACTAAAAATAGAATATGAGATATACATACATATTTTCTATAAAATGACACTTCATTACTATTCAATGATTCACATAACTTTTAACTATGCACGTATTTTAGTACCTACCTACGAATTTAAATGGTTTCCCACGAGTACGTGATGAATCAAACACGGTTCCATTGCTCAAAGTTCCAGTATAATGGACAACTGCTACTTGTCCATTTTTGGGGAATGTACTTCCTGTACAATAAAAAAAAAAAAAATTTATCAATTTTTTACTTCATTTACACATTCGAAAATTAGGTTAAAAGTATGTATTTTGTAATTTACTTACCATCACCTGGTGAAATTGGAACAATATCAACACCCATTGTTATCAATTAAAATTGTAAAAAGATCAGTTTCTACAAAATTTTATTTTTTATAAATAAAATATGGTGCGAGCGTGCTTGCTTGGTTGGTTTATACTTTTTAGAGCTGCTTGTGATTTTTTGGTATATTTCTGGAAAAAAGCACCGGGTTAAAAAGAGATACATAGTTGATTTTTTTTTCATTTTTAAATGAAAGAGATAAATATAGTATATTGAAAAATATAGCGTTGCCTACTTATTTTGATTACATATTTTTTGCTATATTAAACATTTTTTGATTTTTAAGGTTTACATACCAACTTTATATTAGACAACTGTTGCTTTGGTCAAGTATTAAGTATATTTGCTGAAAAACTATAATAAAAGAAGGTTAAGAAAGAGTTGAGATATAAGCTAGAATAATACCAACCATCAACAGAGAATGAAAAATCAAATATAAATTTCAAAATGAGCAATGAAATTGAAAATATGTTCTGGCATAAGCCACTCTACACACTATAAAATTTAATAGATTGACATTTCTCAAACGTCTATACCTTACAACTTTTAGTGCATCTCGCTCACGATAGGATCAATTGTCAAAGAAACGAATGTACATATTACATACTTAGTGACAGTTCTTTTTTTAAATCAGAATTTACCATAAATGCACGAATTGTTTATGTTGAAAATGACCTTACTGAATAAAAGTGAGTTATTGCACTGTTTAGGTGTAAAATATATAAATTATTCGAAATGCCAAAAACAATGCGGAGATTTATATAGTTCATGAAATTTTTAAAATATGATTACTAACGAAATGTGTCTAATTATTCTAACCCAGCATTTACACGTACAAGTTACTTGCAAGAAAGTTGCAATACATACAAAAATTTTACTAACACATTGAAATATTTCTACTTGCTTGTTTACTTGCAGTTCAACTTGCAAGAAAATTTTGCTGCCAGTAATTTGAGCAAGTAATTTGACATATTGAGAAATTCACAAAAAAAAATTTGTTGTTTTGATTTTTTTTTTTTTTTAATTTAAAATTTTTGAATTTTGTTTTGAAAAAATTAAACTTAGCAAACTTATGGTTTCTAAAATTTGTAAACAATTATATATATTGCTAGTTCTTTTCTTCTCAAAGACATTTTCAAAAATTAACTTGCTAAACGCCTACGTCATAATAGCAAGTAATTTGACATTTCGAAAAACTAATTGACAATTAATATTATACAAACTTGCATGCAAGTAACTTGTATGTGTAAATGCTGGGTAACCGTTAAAACATAATTAAAGCGGTGTGCGCTAACGGCTGACGAATTCTGTTGTCAACTCAGAACAAGAACGGAACGGCAAAATCGAACAGTACATATTTTGCATACATGTTGAAGCGGCAAAATAGGAATTTGGGCTATTTCAATACCGCTGCGGAAAAATTAATTCTGACATTTCGCTGCGAAAAATCGCTCTTATTCTATTTTCAATATAAAAGTACAATATATTTCGGCAACTTTTTTTTAAATTTTGACTTTTGAGAAATGTCAAAAATATGTCAATTTTTGAAAAATGCAAAAATATTTTCAGACAAATATTTTCACTCAAATATATCACTCAATGGTAAAAAAAAACGAGCAACATGGTATTTACCAGGGCAGAACTTTACTCGGACATAAAAATTTCAAGTTATCCGCAAATTCTTTAACGTGTTTAAATTCTTGGTTCTACTTAAAGGCTTTTAAATGTAAATTATTTGTGGGATTGAATTAATATCAGCAAATATTTATTTATTTCTACTTTGTGTTGTTTAATGCGGTTTTGCTAATATTTGAATTATTCAAATTAACGAGTATGTTTGCAAATGGTAAGAAACAGACGACCTACACGAAACTTTCACATATGTATTTGTAAAACAAGAAGTCGTATATATAACAAAAAAAAAATAAAGTCAATTCTCAAATTTTGCAAATAATTTTATTTTAATTATTTCTTTCTCATTTGTTCTTTCCATTATTTAAATGGCAAGTACATTATTTTCTGTATTTATTGTTCTTGCTAATATTTGTTTTTTTTTATCTTTTACTATTTTTAATATTAACTGTCTGTCTGTTTATGAAATTTTCATACTAATCATGAATTTACTTTTTTTACTTTTTTTTTTAACATCATTCTAACGATGGAATCGGTTTCATTTTTCATTACAATTTTTTTTTTTTTTACATTTTTTATTCATTTTAATTAAAATCATTAATTTGAATAATATATATATATATATATAATATAAACATTTCTACCACTTTTTTTATTTTTTAATTTTTTTTTTAATACAATAATAATATAATAATAATAATATTTTAATCTACAAGTATTTTTCAATTTATTTTTTCTTTCCATTATTTAATACTACACTACTATTTTTAATATATAATTCATTTCATATCTTTCTTTAAGTTTTTTAATTTAATTTATATACTTTTTTGTTATCTTATTGTTAATATTTTATTATTTTTTTCGCCCTGTAATCTATATTTTTTTTTTTTTCTTAAACACATTTTCGCATTCTGCAATGTTTAAATAAATTTTTTAGAATAAAATTAACAAAATAAAAAAATGTTATATTTTTTATAAAAATAAGTTTTTTTTTTTTTTTATATCCAGTCTAATAAGGTAGAGACTGCAAAAGGATTATATTTTGAAAAGAAATTATAAGAAAATTTTATTTAAATTTGGATTTTTCATATTAATCCTTAAAATACTTTTGGATTTCAATAAATTCGATAATTAATGACAAATTAATTTGATCTATTAAGCAAGTGATTTTAATATCATTTTAAAAAATTAATAAAATTAAAACAAATTTTTTATACTTAAAATAATTTTAATACTTGATAATGAGAATAAATGTAAAAAATTTTTAAGTTGAAAATTAAAATTTTTAATTTTAATTATTGCAATTAAAAAAAATTATCCGATTTATAATTATTTTATTTTTCAATATAATATAAAAAAAAATGTGTCTTCTTTGAATTAAGAATAAATTTTTAATAATATTAATAAGTAAACTGAATTCATAAAATTTTTATTGAAAATATTCTATCAAATCAAACATCTTTTAAAACAAGCATACTACTTAATTTCATTTCATTAATTATTTTTATATATATATATATATTTATTATTTCATATATGTATGTTTCTTAATTAATATTATGGTTTTATTAAATTAAGAAGAATAAAATGATTGTACTATTTAATGTATTTCATATTTTTGTTATATTCTAAATTTTTTTTTTTTATATAATTTAAAATTTATAAAAATAAATTTTGTTAAATTATTAATTTTAATATAATTCAATTGTATTGTCAAATTAACATACTAAATATTATTGAATTAAAAACATTTAATGAACAAATTGTATCAAATTATTAAAAAATATTTATATTTTATATTGCGATGTCGAAATGATTTCCATTAAAAAAAAATTCTAATATTATGATCAAAATAAAACGACAAATTCTAATTATAAATTTTATGAGCATCCAAAAGATAAAATATAAAATACACTTTTATATGAAAAGAAAAATAAAGTTAAGCTAAATAATATGAGATTACTAATAAAAAATTCCATGCATTTTCCATATTTTTTCTTTTATATCGATTTGATTCTTAAAATAATATTATTTCAAATTAAGTACAATAGCAACTAATTACACAAATTTTAATTCTTTTGTTTTGAATTAATTTAAATTTTTTTTAACATGAAGATTCATATTCAGCTACAATATTATTTATCTGAGACCTATTGCACTAACCACTTTTAATTTTAGGTAAAAAAGTAAAAAAATGGTTTGGTACAATAGACTGCTGATTATTTTTTGTAACTGCAAAGTTGAAAAGTTTGATAAAATTATATTTTATTAAAAATAAAAAAATAGGTGTTATAAAAATTTTTACTACATTAAGTTTTCAATTTGTAGTAGTATTTATTAATAATAACTATTATATTTAAAATTGTTACTAATAAATTAATACATTTATTCTCATTAAATATATACAAACAAAAAAAAAAAGGAAATTATAAATAAAAACCATTACTTATTTTTTTTTTTTTTTGAAGAAAAAAATCTATTTAGAATTTCTTTTTTATTTAAAAAAAAAATTCAAAATTTTTTTGAATAATTTTTCTGTTTTTGTTAAATATTTTATATTTAACTTTTGTAATTTTTTTTTGTTTTTTGTTTAAGACAAATTCGTATACTTACATAATCATTTAAGGTCTTTCATTTTCTCAAATAACCGCCTCACATTTACTTTTTAATTAATTACTTTTTTTTTTTTTTATTAATATTTAATTTTTCTGTTTCTTAAATTAAAACGCATCTACAATTAGATAATTAATTTTCTTCTTATTTTCTTTGAAGAATTTAATATTGATTTTTTTAATGCATATTAATTATATTTTCAAATTCTTCTCAATATTGTTATAATTTTTTTTTAATTTTTGAAATGAGAAAATAAAAAACATAAGTTTTACAAATAAATTTTTTAATAATTTAAATTTCATTTTCTTTTCGAATTGGAAAAAAAAAAAACAATAATTTTTTTTTCTTTGAATGCTTGTAATTACTTTTTATTAAATATATATATTTAATTTTATAATTATTTCAACATATATATATAATATTACTTTTATTATTTATATAGCTATACTAAAAATTAGTATACCAGTTAAAAAATCACGACCGACATTTCATTTTTTTTTTTTTGTGATTATGTCTGTTAATAAAATTATTTATTGAAATACTAAAAAATCTTCAAGAGCCATTATTTACGTTTTTTGTTTTTTTTTCATTTTATTTTATATTAAATTAAATTAAATAAAAATTTTCCTTTGATTATTATTCCTTTTATAATTTATTTTAAATTTCAAATTATAGACGAATCTTTTTGTTCTAATATCGTTAATAAGAATAAATTATTTTAAAATTAAAATGATTTTGATTAAATATAATATAAACCCAAAGTAAATTCAAGCATAATTAATTTCTATTTTTATGGTAATATTAAAATGTTTTTTTTTTTTTGTTATAAAATATCTATTTGAAAACTTAATGTTTTTTCTAATATATACATACATATATTTATGTATAAAGTGAAAAATATAAAATATTATAGTTTTTAGTAATAATATAATTATATCTTGGCTAAAATATCACAATTACAAAATTAATATGCAATTTATTTATTTTTTTCGGTTTGAGGACGTCTATTTATATTTTCTTAATATTTTTGTATGTATTATATAATATAAACGTACATAATGAATGAAATTTATTCTTATTAAATCAAACATCACAATTTATTTCTTTTAATTTATTATAAAATTAAAAAAAAAAAAAAATTACACGGCAATAACAAGCATTTTATGTATCGTACACAATTTTTTTCTACATAAAATCATTATGGGTTCAAAGTTTAATTCCATTTAATTTGTATAATTTTAAAGTTGATAGAATAAAAAGAATTTAAAATAGTGTAAAATGATAATAATTAAATAATAAATTAAGTAAATAAATTATAAGCTACATATTATATAAATATATATATTTTTTTTAATTTATATAAAAATAACTTTTTTCTTTTATAAACAATACTTTGAAATTAAGTATTTTTTTTATTTATACTTTTCGAAAATGAAAAAAGTATATATATATATTTTCAATTAATTGATTTTTTTTTTTTTCATTTTTTGAAATATTTAATCTAAACGCAAATTTGATTAATTTTTATAAATGAGATTTAAAAAATTAATACACCAAATCTTTAATTGTGTTTGGAAAAAGATAAAATTTAAAATTATAAATAATTGTAAAGAAATTGTTCAAAAATAAACAAAATGGTCATAAAAAAATTTTTTCAAATTTAAATGAAATTGTACATTTTTTAATAATTTTCAGTAAACAGTATTTATGGATCATTTGATATTTAACTTTTTTCATATTTTACTTTTGTTATTTTAAATTCAACAGTTTTTGTAATTTTTGAACAAGCCATATTTACAAAATTACTTTTTATTTGGTTAACAAATACAATTTGTATTATTATTGTTTTTAATATTTCTGTAAATTTTGCTATTTCTTAAAAAAAAAAAAAAAAAGAAATTTTTTAATTTTTAATAAAACTATATTTTATAAAAAAAAAATTAGGAATGCTTAATTATGCAAAATACATTTTTTTATAATTTATATATGCGTATATATATATATATATATTGAGCTTTTAAGATTTTCAAATAGCCTAAGTTACATAATTAAACTGAATTTTTAAAATTTGCGTACAATTTTTTGTTTTTTAGGCAAGATGAATTTATTTATTATTTATAATAATAATATGTGCTCTTGAAAATTCAATTTTTGTATTAATTTTATTAAAATTGTTTTTATATTTTTTTTAATAGTGTTTTTTTGTTTTTTTAATTTTTAAGACAACACAACAAATCTAAGAATTTTCTATACATCTAGAGAAGATCTATATTCTTAAAAATTTAGTATTTCTATTTTGTTGTTTTTTTTTTTTAAATTGTATGTAAACTAAAAATTTATTTTAAGTAAATTTTTTTAATAGTTTCGTTTTTTTTTTTATAATTTTTTTTTATGTTTTATTATTTTGTTTTCTGTAACAATATTTAATTTTAAAATTAAAACTTACATAGATAAAACCTATTTGCTTTTTAAATATTTTTACACCTTCTAATTAACTACATTTTTGTGAATATATGATAACTAAATATTTATGATAAATTTTCTTATCAATTTTCGTATTTTGGAATTTTTCTTAAGAATACTACCATTTTTATTTTAAACAGTTGAACGAAAAGTGTTAAATTTAATCTTAAAATTTTAAATTAAGAGAATGAGAACCATTTTTTTTTCTTTTAATATATATATATACATTTAGAAATCAAATAATTATAATTTTTTTGAGATATTTTTAGTTAACATTATAATTCTTAAATGAAATAGTTAGAAAATAAAAATTAAAGAAAAAAATAAACTTAATCTAAAGCAGATTGATTTTTTTCTTGTTACTTTTACATAGTTTTGTGTTTTACTAGGAATTCAAAAATAAAAAATCTCACTAAAGAATACTAAACTTAAGAGTAAGGATAAAAAAAAAATCTAATTTTTCACAATTGTTTTTAAAAATCTTAGTATATGTTTTAATTTATCTTTGTAGGTATAAATGAAGTCCAAATTCCGTACAGTTGGGGGCTTTTTGTATAAATTTTTAACAATATTTTCGTTGATCACCAAAAAATATTTTTTTTTTTTCTTTCATTTGTTTTCTATTTTCAAATATGCCCTCACCATATTTTTCATCCAATTACTAAAGTTATGGACTTCCCGCTACACTCTCAGCCTTCCTCTTCTTCTTCTTTTATTTCAAAAGGTGGAATATAAAGCTTATCCATAACGTGAATTTTTATATGATTGTTCAATGTTGAACTTTGGCGAAATTGTTTTTTGCAAACAACACATTCAAATGGTTTCTCTCCAGTATGAATTTTAAGGTGGTTTGTTAATGTGCTAAGTTGACGAACTAAAATTACAATGTATTTTATTACAAATAAACAAATATGTACATATTATAGCATTGTAAATATTTTAGAAAACTCACATTGTTTAACACAATAGCTACAATTAAATGGTTTCTCTCCAGTATGAATCTTTAAGTGATTTGTTAAAGTTGAAGACTAAGAAATTATAAATTAATTGATATTTGTATCTACTTGACCTAAATATATATATATTTACCTGTCTAAAATACTTTTCACAGACGTTACATTTATATGGCTTTTCACCAGTATGAATTTTAACATGATTTGTTAATGTGGACAGCTAAAACCAAATATGATACATTTAAAAATAACTAACTTAAAAAATTAAAACAAATTTTTGTACCTGCCGGAATTTACGTTCACAAACATTACATTGAAATGGTTTATCTAAAGTTCCTATAGTTGATGATCTACCTGGCCTAATGGGAGTTATGGTGGCTTGAGTAGTTTGAACATTTGTTTGAACAGCGTGAACAGCCTGTGTTATTTGCCCAGTCTGTACTGCCTGTGCTTGAGCAACCTGCACCACTTGTGCTGCTTGAACTGCTTGAGCTGCCGCCTGAACAGCTTGGGCCTGTACACTCTGTACAACATGTGCTGCTTGTACTACTTGTGCTGCCTGAGCAGCCTGCACAACAATTTCTGGAGAAGTATTTTCTAAAAGAAAATATGGGTTAAATTTATTTTAATTTTTTTTTTTTTAATATTTTACCAGCTGTCATAACTCCATTATTAACTACAATAGCGCGAGCGGTGGTAGCATTTATTGTCCTTGGTATTTGAATTTGTTGCTGTCTCGTGTTTCCACCGGAATCAGTGGTAGTAACAATCTAAATCATAATAAAAAAATCATCATGTATAAAAATTTAACTTCCACAAATACTTTTTATGAATTACCAATATATCCGTCATTGCTGTCATATTAATTATTACTATATTATTTTAATATTTGTTAAATTATTTTTCATTAATAGATCGTCATTATATTTTCTGTTACACAACCTGAAAGAAAACAATAGATTGTCTCAATAGGGTTATGTCGTGTTGAATCCTTATTTTCTGTCCTTTTTATTTTAATTTCCAAAATTTTTCTACTTACTACAGTTGCATTCGCTTTTGCAAACTTTTAAATTCAAATCAAATATTAATTAATTATGGAAAAAAATTAGAAAACGTTTTTACATTAACATATTAATGAGAAAATTATTTAAGCAGTTTTCATTTTATGAAGACATTTTTATACGAAAACGAAAACCATCAGGAACAACAAGATTTGACACTGAAATGACAGACGAAACAATTAAATCTTATATTCGTTAAGTTTGGAAATTTTTCGATAAAAATAATTTAACGCCATCTTTCAACAAATCAAACAAAATAGAAATATCAAATCAAAAATATGGTCAACACGAATTTAAATACGTACGCATCTTTGATACTGTAATTTTTTTGCGATAATTACATTATATTAATTTTGGTTCAAAATCGCCCAATCAATTTGACACTTTATTATACTCAAGAGTTCTAGTGAATTTGCGTTCTTTAAGGAAAAAAGAAAGACTTAATTAAAGGAAAAACTTCTAGAAGTTTTTCGCAAAATTGTAAATGCTTGTTAATAAAAATATTCTTTTTTTTTTTAAATATTTGGTACTGTGTTACGACATTTAATAGTAGGCAATATGCCAAGATATTTAACGTTGCTAAATATTCGCAACGCAGCCAAATTATCATATGAGTAGCGTAGATAAATCATATGAAGGTTAAATTCGCGTTTGCAGTTCTGAATGCGAGAGATCTTATTAGTTAAAACTGCACTGCAATAGAACTACTAAAGCAGCTGTGCCAAGAAAAACTATAGTGTCAAAAAATTTAATTTATATTATCTACTAATTCAGAAATTATTCTTCAAATATAAAAGCAGAAAACGATGTTATGCTATCGATTTGATAGATCTTGTGCAGTTCTACCAAAAAGAACTGAATGCTTTTTGCTGCGAACTACAAAAATGCGGTGCTATTACAGACCTCTGCTAAAACTTCAAACGCGAATTCAACAGAATTATTTTGATTTCAAAAAGTTAAAAATACTTCGCATATTCATCAATTTATGTTTTTGCAGTATTGCGTTTCGAGTTTATTTGTTTTGCAGTAGGTATTGTGTTCATAAAAATCTCTAGTATAAGATTATGCATGTTTTGATGATAATAATATACTTCTTGATAAAAAGAAAAAAAAAATCATTTTATGAAAATGCTTTATTTAGATTCTTTTCGTGTTTTTATAATTGTACATTCACAAAAAATAATTAAAAATGTAACGTTTCGGTTTTTGTTTTTAAATAAACAACAAAATTTAATTTTACTGAAAACATTATGGTTTATTTTCTTTTCGTTTATTTAGTTTTTAATATGCTATACAATGACTTCTAACAATATTGTAAAAGGTACGATTATAATGGATAGTTATATTTAGTAAAGGCGTACATATATACAAGTTATATTTATTCAATGAAAATTTTACATTAGAATAACAAGTGCTCAAAAAATAAATTAAATTAAAAACATTTGCATATTTACTTGAAATTAAATAAAACTAATTAAATAAGAAAAAATCTAAATTTGTGAAATTTTTTTTTTAAGTAGGTACTTTAAATGAATAGGAATGTTGAATTCTCCTTATTGCTTTAATTTAAATTATATATTATAATATTTTATTTTCAATGAGCACTTCATATAATAGAAAAAATTTTAATAAAACACTGGTTATAAAATTATTCAATTAAATGCTTTGGAAATTTCATTCAAAAGAATAGGTGACAATAATTTTGCGTGGCGTTGTTATTTTAACAACAAAATTAAACTAAGCTCCATTTTGGCAGCTACAAAATTTTAATATTAAAAATTCTAAATATTTTTCACATCTCTTAAGAATGTGAAAATAACAAAAACTATAATTATATTCATACAAATTTATACATTTTTTTTTTGTATAAATTGTTAACATAACTTATAAAATTTTTTTAATACAGTAACAACAGCGTAATAAATTTGCAAAAAAAAAAATGTGAAAAAAAAAAAAATTGTAACAACATAATTTCATATATCGCTGTAATTTTGTTTAGTTGTCCGTTTTGATTTTAATTATTGAAAAATTATTGAAATGTTTATAGTCCTGATCCGCCACTAGTTGATCCTAACACATATTTTGAATAAATTTGATTTATTTGTTCCAGGAATATAAATGTCAACACTGTATGTGGTCCTAAACGGCAAAAGTATGGAGTAAAACCTTTCCATAAAGCAAATATTCCTTCATGTCTTGCAACTTTTGCTAAAACATCAATGGTACCACGATATTCAGGCTTGCCGTCAGTGATTTTCATATTTTGAATTCTAAAAAGAAACAGTCAAAATTCGATTATTTTAAAATTTTAATTTTAATTAAAATAAAAATAAAAAGAAAAATAAATAAATAATAAATGTGCTGACCTAGTTTTGGCAATGTCAACTGGCATTGAAGCAGCTGTTGTTAAAAATCCTGACACCATACTAGCCGAAAAATGTAATTTTATACCTTCTTGCATTTCAAAAATTTGTGCAAAATAGCCTTTTGCTTGCGAATATGATGCTAATTGCACCATATTAACAACCATAGCTCGTCCTAAAAAGAAAAAACTAAATATTTAAAAAGAACTTGAACATTATTTTTTTATAATACTTTTCATTTAGCCTGAATTTATTATTATATATTGAAAAAAAAATACTAGACATACCAACTGTTGCCGTACATCCTCGCCACAATGCTGTAACACCCTCTTCTGTAGTTATTCTTGCTAATGCATTCACAACATTCGTATAATTTCTTCTTTCTGCAAGTGGTAATTTACCATCAGCAGTCATTCTAATTAGAGCTACTTCGGCTGGAGTTCCGATAAACGCTCCACATGCTCCAGCTATCATACCCATAGCCATACTTGATAATAAATTTGGTTCACCTTTATAATTTCTAAGAAATTTAATTTTAAGTAAATAAAAAATCAATTATGTACTGAAATAATATATAAATAAGAAAAAAATACAAATTCCAACTTACTGTCTATAATAATCATTTAAAAATGTATATACACCTATACGTCCTGTAGTATATGTAGCTTGTCGTAATAATGCAGCACCAATACCTTTATATAATGCTAAGGGTCCTTCTTTACTAACAATGGTTGATATACAATGTAAGGAATTTTTGTATTCTCTTGCTGCACCACCAACTCCTTGAATTTGCATACGTGTTTTAACTAAATCTAGAGGCTGAACTATACATGTCGCGCCCATCCTATAATGATTAAAAATTATCAATTACTATAAATTAATTGTAAAACAAAAATACATTTCAATCAAATCCCTTATTTTATATTATTTTTTTTATAGATGCTCAAAAGCGGATTTATTTTTTAATTATAATAGTATTTATTGCAATAATTTGAGCATACACCGAATTAAATTTAGGGAATTGACACAAAAAAAATTCCATTTTTTTATAAATATTGTAACGAAATATCTGCACTCTTTATCTGCAAAGGTTTAATTTTCTGATCTTTACTGATCGAAATGGTCTAGCACATTTGTTATCATTTATGTACATAAATATATATTATTATTATTACATATAAATTTTTCACTAAGTGAATTACTCCATCTATCTCTTAAACTAATTATATTGAAAATATATCGAACCAAATTACTTATTTCATTCTTTTTCTTGCAACTATTGTTATCAAATAATAAAAAAAAAGCATTTGTTCGAATAGCATAATGTCAATGCTCTACAATCTGTTTGAAATACAGAGTGTCCAAAAATAAGTGATAAATAGATGATAAACGTGGAAATTAAAAATTAAATTTCGTCAACACTGTCCTAATAATTAAAACGAATGTACGAGTGTTCAAAAGACAATTTCAATTCGCCTGCATTTACGAATATCAAAATTTAAATAATTAATAGTGTAATATTTTAGTGAATATTCTCAAAATTACAAATTTTATAATAAATGTAAGAAATTAATGATTTCAAATTAATTTATTTAAGTTGCTTTATTATAAAATATAGTGAAAATTTATAAAAAGTTGACGTAACAAATGAGAATTTAAAAATAAAAAAAACTTAGTATTTTTTTTTTACTATTAAAGCACAGATAAATAATAGTGATGCAAGCAACAAGTGTCAACAGTTAAATTTTCATTTTCAGCAGTGTTATTCAAAGCGTAACAGAAAATTTTCATTGTTACATTGTACATTAGAACTAAACAATTCATTAAGGTTTAATTAAACTAGAGTAATTGATTTTTTCAGTTAGTATTTTGACAGAAATTTCTGACGCATTAATTAATCGATGGATCTAACAGTTAGTCAAACTGAAATTTAATTATAAATAATTTATAAATTAAAATTTTTTGTTAACAAGAATGTAATCTTTATTAATGGCACGACAAAGGGATGACAACTTTGAAACATTTATCGAATAATTATCGAATTATGAAAATTACAATTAAAAAAATTAATTTTCAGTTTTATAGGCACTAAAATTAACACTTATAAATAATTACATATAAAAAAATAAAACATTTTTTTTTTAAATTGAAGGACTTTTGTTGCTAGGTAAAAGATGAAAACACGTTACTCTTATTTTTTCATACCCAACAAATTAGTTATTTAGCAATTTAATGTTAATAGAATAAGTAAATGTTTGCAGCTTAAATAGAATATTTTATTAAATTTGTTTTTTCATTAAATATTTAAATAATTTTTATGTTTTTAATAAATTTAGTTAATATTGGAAAAACTATATTGTAATGTGATAAAATATTAAGCAAAAATTATTGGAAAATTCAAATATTTTTATTTTTGAAATTTTGAACCTAAACTGTCCATTATTGAAGTAAAAAATTAACACTAATTCTATGTACTTAGAAATAGTTTGTAATAGCAAATAGATAATAATTTATGCAAACATATATGTAGATAAATTTAAAATCTAAATTAAAAACTACTTTTGTTACCAAATTTCCATATGCTTTCTTTTTAGAAATTTTTCGGTAATGCAATTTCAAAATGTTATTGCATTCGACTCTCATATGTAAATTTATTATAACGAATTTAAAAATAAAAATTGAAATATAACGAAATATGAATATAAATAGCCGAAAATTTCTCAATATATACTGCGAAATTCACGAAAATTTAACGACAGTCTTATCCAAAGTAAGCAATACATGTTTTTTTTCTGTTTTGTAAAGCAATGTGCGTGTTTATAGAATTTGTGAAAAAATCTTAAGTCATAAATTTTCTAAAAACCTTAGAATTTCCAATTAAGAGCTAATATTGTTATATATGTATGTTTGTTCTTATATTATAATAATACATATATAACTAAAAATAGTTTTACAAATCCTAGAAAAAAGTTTCGATAGGGAAAATATGATCTGTAATAAGTAAATTTATTAATGAGAACTTTGTATATATATGTATATATATGTATATATATGTATATATATGTATATATATGTATATCTATGTATATATATGTATATGTATGTATATGTATATATATGTATATATATACATATATATATATATATATATATATATATATATATATATATATATATATATACATACATAGATACATACATATATATATATATATATATATATTTATATATACATACATATATATATATATATACATATATATATATATATGCATATATATGTATATATATATATATATATATATATATATATATATATATATACATACATACATATATATATATATATATATATATACATATATATATATATGCATATATATGTATATACGAGTATATATATATATATATATATATATACCTACGTAATACCATTGCTACCATAAAATTTTTATATTCAACATTTGGAGCAAATTTTAAAATATTTGGCATAAATACAAAAAAAAAATTATCAAGTAACAATTAAAATAAATTCACATTAATTTTAATTTTCTAATTTTAAATATCACAAGTCTCATAAAATTGTTCGAAAATTTAATTTATTAAAAAAAAAATTTTCATTTATTCAAAATTTCTATAACAAAAAATATTTTGTTTTTAAACCAATTGAAGAAAAATTTTTTTTCATTTCAAAAAAAATTATTTGTATGGGGGAGACTATTGACAATGACCTTGAACTTGACGACTAATGGCGTTAAATTTGTTTCTTTTATTTAAATTTTTAGAAAAACATAAAAAATGAAAAAAAAAACACAAAGAAAAATAGTTCACTAGACTGTTTTTCTTTTTTTTCACGAGAAAAAATAAATTAACTTCCGCGTTTTTTTAATTTATTTTTATTTAATTTTTTTTTTGTAAAAAAAAAAGTGTTGTGACAAAATGTTTTTCGTCGTGCCACTGTATTGCACAAAAATTCACTATAATTTTTGTTTTAATTTTGTTCTAAAATAAAATTAATTACCTAGGGTGTTTGGGAAAATTGGCGGTAACGGGAAGAAATGTATTATAAAAACAAAATTTTCTCAAAAACTATAATGGATTTGAAAAAAGTACATTTCGCATAATTATAGTTTAATTAAAAGCACTTTAACGTTAAAACAGAACCAGAGAAGAAATATGGCGAATGATTTACTTTATTGAACAATATCAGAATGGCAATACCAACTCATCAGTATTTTGCATGTAATGCCACACACATATTATGGACACAGATGATTTCAAAAAAAAAAAACGCCAGGAGAATTGGATTTTTATATTCGTCGATCAAATTCCCGGTGGTAATCATGTTTCATTTGGAACAGTCTCGAAATTTTGACATTTCACAGCGAAAAATCGCTTTTGTTTTATTTTCAATCAAAACGTATAGATATTAAAAAAATTTTAGGTTAGTGGTACTAGAAGTTTCTTAAATTTAAAAAAAATGTCTAATACTAATAGTAATTTTTATTGTAAATTTTATTTTATTCTTAAATTTCTTCTAAAATGTGCTTAAAATAAATATTTTTAAATGTTTGAAGCTCATTTTGAAAGAACATTTATATTCATTTCAGTACAGACTCCCTTCATTTTAGTATATAGATTTTATAGAAAAGTGTATTTATACATGTAGTTTTATAATTACGTAGAAAAAATAAATAAAAACAAAAATATTAGAAAGTTTTCAAAAAAAAAAAAAAAAATTAAAAATAGCTACAAATGATTTTTTGTTTTCTATCTATACAATTGCACATATGTACATACATGGCAGGTTGTTATAGTTTTCACCTAACAAAATATTTACATTTGTTTGTATTTATTCATTTCTGTTCCAAAAAAAATTGTACAAAAAAATTGTAAATATTTATTAAATTTTTTTGAATTTGTTTTTGAATTAATGCAAGAAAATTTTATTTGGAAATAAATAGGTTTGTGACTCTACTAGAAATCAAGAAATTTTAATTAAGTTTTTATAAAGAAACAAGAATAGATTTTACAATAATTTATTGATATATTAAATTGAAAAAGCATTTACATACAGTAATTTTTCAGTATTATACTAAGTAAACAGGAATACCCCCCTGCGCCCTCCCCGTTTTAAACGAAACAACTTACATTTCAAATAGTTTCGATTTAAATGCAAACATTTTGATTCCAAATATTGTTAAGAACGGGGAACGAGTTCCTGTATTTAAATTTTAGAATTTATATTATTATAGTATTTTTAATATAAAATATTAATTAATTATTAAAAAATATAAACAGAAATAATTTTATAAACATAATTAATAATATTCTTTTATAAAATAACCCTCACCCTAGAGTTGAGCAGAATTAATTCTAAAATTAAAATTTATAAATTCTTATTTAAAAAAATTTTCATTCAATTTAAAAATGTGTCGAAAATTATAAATAAATTTTCGTCAGAAAACTGTTTTTATATAAAAATTAAAAAAAAATTAAATAATCATACTTATTATATCATACATAATAAATTGTTTTATGTATGAAACATACAAATAAATGAATAATTATAAAGTCCTATGAACTCATTTTTCTTATCATGAGAAAAAAAAAAATAATTTTTCTATTTTTGTTATCAATCAATATACCTAAGTATAAACAATAAATTATTTATGTATTAAAATAATAATTACTAATTTTAGAATATCATTTGTGACTAAATATACATTTATTAAAATAATTTACAAAATAAATAAGTAATTACAATACTTGACGTTCTACACAGATCATGAAAAGTATATAAGTTCATTACAATATAACACTTTTATTATTGTTATTGATAAGATTTAATATTGAGTATGTTAAAAAATATTATTAATTAATAAATAAATATTATGTGAGCCTTAAAATTTTTACAAACCGAAGAACTTTATTTTGATAAGGGTCTATTATAGTAAGCATCAGCTATCGTAATCTCCACTGAAAATGATTTTTAAATTGTAATAACATAAAACTGAATTAAATATATTCATAACAGAACAAGTACTAGATTAATTAAATTTATATTTTAAATATTTTCGTATTAGTAAATTATTTCAACATTTGGTAAAATGTGTTTGTTCGAGTATAGTCTAAATTAAATTCAAAAAGACACGCGAAAAAACTAAAATTTAAAATTAAAATTGAATTATTGAATAAGTAATTATTAATTATTTTTAACAAATTTTAGGTTAAATAGTTTGAACTGGGTACTATACAAGAATATAGTATTTTGATATGCCGCCATAAGTAATTATAGAATATTTAACTTCAACTAGTTCCAATTCAGTGAAATATTGACTAATTTTTCTTAATTTCATTAATTATAACGCACGTAGTCAAATTATTAAAATCTTATTAGGTATTATTTTCAAAAAAAAAAAAAAAATTAGTATTCAAGATTTGGAGCTTTATTAGTTTTTTTTTTTCCTTATTTTTGGTTTATTTTGCTTACTTATCTAAAATTTTAAACAAATATTTATAATAAGCTAGTAACAAAATGTACATAAATTTTTATAAACTAAATAACTCGATTAAAGCTTTAAAATTATTGATGAAATTATAATTAATTTTGATTTTGATTTTATAAATTTGAATTTTATAAAAGCACTATGGGTCTTTTATTTATACTCGTATATTTTAGCGATTTATCAAGAAAAATTAAATGTAGAAGAAAATGGCTTTTGATGACTTGAATCTTAAATTCAATAAATTGAATTGAATTGAATATTAGAAAGAACTTGTATAATAATAATTTCTAAAATAGGCTATTTTTATTTAATCGTTTAATATTTTTAACATAAAGAAAAAAAATTCTAATTTACTTTAATTCCGCTTTAAAAAAGGAAGGATTCAATCTGTTAGCTTAAATGCATTGGCATTGCTTACCATAAATGTAATGGCAAGGCCATTGCTATTACTCCATTTTAAATATTGTTAGTCCAAAAAATTATTTGTAATTAATTTTTATTTTAAATTTCTATGTTTATAATTTAAATATTTAAAAAAAATATATCAAATGTGTGGAACGAAGTATTAATTTTAAAAGCTTAATAATATGCCTTACTTTAATTGATGTAGATTACTTGATCGAATTGCTAGGTTTGTACGGATTGCAATAAAATATTGCATACTGAATTGCTATTTGTTATAAACACATATTTGAATTTCATGCTTCATTTCAAATAAAGGCCAAATGAAAGAATTAAAATTATAAGTAATAAAATTAACTACGAAAAATAATATTATTTAAGAAAATGGAATAAGGAAAAAGTAGGTAAAATTAAAAATACTTAAAATATAATTTAGCAGATATTTGTATGCCTTTGTTTTAGAAAAAATTTAAATTTAATATAAAAATGTACGCAAATTATGGCATTGACCGGTGATAATAATTTATAAATAAAAACAAAGGATTTCATTTATTTCTTTATTTTATTTAGAAATCATGCTAATAATTTCTTAGATTATATTAATAGGTAATTACTTATAAAGCAAATAAGAATTTTAATTTTAATTTGAAAATATTGTAAGTATGTAATAAACACTAAAAAGAGTAGGCCTTTATGTGATTTTGTTAACAATAAAATTATTTTAGGAAGTATTAATTAGACAAAGTTTTATAATTATGCTATAAGTAACTGAATAACAAAAAATTTTTTTAATAATGAGAATGAAGAAAAATTTGTGTGACGCAAGTTAATTTTAAAATTATTGGTCGATACCAATTGTTCATTTATCTGAAATTTTTTATTTAAAAATAAATAAATAGATAGATAGATGCTACCGCGTACAATATGTGAGTACCTATCCTATCTACTTTACCTATGTAAAGGTGGGCTACATATGTAGGTATACTTGTTTTATTTGTTTTCGGTTAAGCCAGTTGAGATTGTGTATTTTAAATCTTATGGAAAAATAAAGTAGGTATTTTAGATTAGTATAAAAATTATGTAATAAAAGTAGGCTAATTTTTAAATTATTGACCTCGAAATTTGTTTGAGCTTTTTTAATTTGCTTGCGAATCGGTGAAAAGCGCTTGTGAATGTTGTATAGTAAAAGTTTTTAAATTAGAATTCTTAACATATGTATGTATGGTCCTATGTATCTCATTGTGAATATTTTTGTTTTTTTTTATTTTTATCAAAACAAAAACGTTGACAGTCATCCCAAAGTTTTAAGAATTTATTTAATATTTTTATTAATATTAAAATAAATTAATAATTTAAAATTATTTATGATTTCGAATTATTTTAACAAATTAACTTACCCTGATAAACCACTAAAAACAAATCTTAGAGCTGTTGGAGTTTTCTTCGTTTCAGTCATCTTGTGTAGTTAAAAAAAATTTCAATAAAAAATGTATGTATTTCTCTCAATTGTTGAAATTAATTCGAAGCAAGAAAATCAAGTAATATCAATTTTGGGCGCGGAATAAAACAAAACACGGAACTTAAAATGAATATTATTTATGTAAAAATAATAATTAAAAATTAAATTGCACTATTTTTAACTTTCATGTAACCTTCACCTTCTTCTTTCTATCACTTATTTAAGGTTAATAAAAAATATGCTATATTTTGTTGTTTCAATTCAACAAACAACATAAACTGTCTAGTTTACGGCGAAAAATGGATTTTTCTTAAAATAAATTAAATGTCACATGTATATATTCGCCGCATTTGAATAATTCATATGACACTTAAAAATTATTTAAAATAAGTGCTGCCATTGCCTAAAATTTAAGCCCATAGAAAAATGTGCAATGTGTGTACGCAATTGTAATTTGATTATTTCTCATTTTGACAGACACTTCACACAAAAATGTCAATTCATGTGGTGATTTGTGTCACCATTTAGATAACAACTTAGTAGGAATTAAATGACAATTTGATCCTATGATATTTTGTAATCTTTCGTTGCGAAAAGAGAGAAAAATACATTTTTTAACTCAATATTGAGTGTCGAGTAGCGTGCTTATATCCAACAAAATTATTTTTTTTAACTTCTATAAATTTATTCTCATTTTTAATATATCAGACATCAGGCGGCAATAAAAATTATAAGCGAATGGAATAAAAAATCAGTTGATTGTCAAAAATTCAAATTTTAATTGAGATATTTTTAATTTTAATTGGATTTGCTAACAAAATTAAATATATATAAACTTAATTTTAAGCGTTCAATATATATTAATCTATAGTAATAATAATAATATGAAAATGGAAGGAAGGATAATAACTCAGATTTTTTTTTTTGCAGTAACCTTATTCATAACAGGAATTCAATTTAAAATTGCAGTTAACTTATATTGAAATTTTATAAATAATGGCCATCTTGTTCACCCGGTTCTGTAATAAACAATCAGTTTCTGTTGAATGCGAAACGTCAAAAATGTACTAAAAAATAGCGTTATGTCAAATTTAGATATAAGTCTTGTTTTGTTTTTTAAAATTTGGAACTTAGAAGTTGAACTTGGTTTTGTAGAATAAGACAACAAGCATATAGTTACAGATGCGTAAATCTACTGTAGAAAATGAAGGGATTAATAACGAATCGATTCCTCTGCCAAAACACATCCCGTTTCCAGAAATACCTAATACTAACGAAATTTTAAATGAGTTGTTAGTTTTCGTTTTTATTTTATTTTCAGCTGGAATGCAATTTTTACATATATATAGAACAATTTGGTGGCTACCAGAATCCTATATAAATCACACAATTGTAAGATAACTCTCGTATCGTAAGATAATTTTATTACATTTATATATAAAATTTTTATTTCAAGAATTTTTATTTAATTGATCCGTACTTGGTAATATTCGTTATATTTATGTTATCGAGACGAGTGCTATACTGCTTGATGAATTATAGTTTAGAGGCTTTTTACAAGGATACTCAACTAAAAATACATAAATTAGTTGGGAGGTAATAAAATAATTTAAAATTTAAGTTTTTCTTTCTTATGATTTTCAATTTCAGGTACTGCTTTGTTTTTGTTTTAATGTTAATATTAGGATGCTGCATTTCAAAAATTTATACAAAACAAAGTTATTTAAGTATGTTCCTCCTATTATATCCGTAAGTAAAATTGAAAATATTTAATTTATTGAACAAAATGGTCAATTAGTAAGACAAATTAAAATTACATTTTAGACTAGTTGTATATTTTCTGGTTTTCGGCCCTAAAATTGAACCTTTTCTTCGAACAATAAGTGAAATTGAAGGAACATACCTCAATGGTTATCCGATGCATTGTTGCTCATCAAATCCAAGTGCTATTAGAGATGAAGTGGACACATTAAAAAATGATTTCAATAATAGGTTTAAACAGGCAATCTTTACATCAGTTTTAAATGCATATTATTCAGGATTTGTTCCTTGCTTTTTTGCTCAAAATCATTTATATTATGATGTGTTATGGGCGACTCAACATGTATTATTCGTGTGGTTAGGTGGTTTGACAATGGTTTTGGTATTTTGCTTTCCAGCAAAATATTGCGATGTTTTACATCGAGCAGCACTTCATTTAGGAACATGGTCTAAAGTTGAACGTATGAACAATATGACTTTGCCACCAGTTACATATACAAAGACTATTGCTTGGAATAATGGGAGTGTTGTTCGTCATTCTGGAGAATTATATCGTTCTATTGGGCCAGTCACATCTGCAACTCCGGGAAACACGACCCATTACCGATTCTATAAGCTATTCAGTAATCCTTCGGTGGTATATATGTTTCTTACAGGATTGCAAGCTTCGTTAGTTATTTTACAAGTTTCATTGCTCTTTTTCTCAATTGAATGGCATAATATTTTATCATTAAGTTTCTTGACATTAACAAACCATCTTACTTTGTTTAAGGTGATCAGAGATTATTTAGTTACACAAAAGGTGTATGCTGCTGAATCGTCAATCTATGAAAAACTAACGTCCCACTTTAATTAATTAAATTTTAGATAAGTACATATGATATAATGTATTAAGAATTTTATTATTTGAAATTAAATTAATTTCATATTACATTTTGTAATTTATTTCAAAAATTTTAAGTCTATGCATTCTATGTTAATATACAGTTTATAAAAGTATAAATCAATAACCTTTACGACCCCGAAATCTTTGCCTGTTGTCGAGCTATAAATAAAAAAGTTTTTTGAATAAATAAGAAAGATAATGAAAAAAATTAAGATATGTAGATATTTAAATCAAGTTTTAATTTCATAACGAAATTATCATTGATCAGCTGCGTAATATTATTTTGAGAAATTATTACGTACCAAAGATCTTTTACATTCGAAAAAAGTGTTACGGAGAACGAGACACTGTTGCGGACAATCTGGCCTTTGAAGGCATTCTCTAGGAGTTTTTTTTTCCTGTGGAAGAAAGTAAGTACAGTTTTGCTACTATAATCTTAAATAAGATTAACTAACTATTTTGCAACAATCTGATTCTAGTAAACACATTTTTAGATCTGCTCGAACACCAGCGCAAGGTGAAGTATCCGCTAATTTTTCACCCTCTTCTTGATATTTCATCATTTTGACGAATTTTTATTAAATATTTTGTTTTGAAATCAATATTGTCGTTTGTTTAGGTATAGTGTGCATAGTTTTTATTTTATTGATAATTCAAAAGCAGCTGTTTTATTGACAAAAAAAAATTTGCTTCGTGGGACACTAGAGTAGGGGTGGACACCGATTTAAATAAAATTCAAAAATTGCAGTTCTTTGTCCCCAAATTTGCTTTCTAGAATTTATTTTAACAAAAATCATATTGACTATTCAAAGAAAGTTCTGATTTTTGAGCTCTTGCCGTTTTCATTAGTAAATTATTACGGGAATAATATAACAAACATAATTTGAGTTTTGTTTTTTAAATACAATTATTCCAAAATCACAGAAGTGTGTAAAAAGAAGGGGCATTTTAAAATTTTTGTAAGTAAATATTTTATTTACCTACCTACATATGTATAAAATTTTCTATTATTATTTGATTTTTGTTAATTTTACTGTAACTTTGCTGATTTTAATTATTTCTTCGACTATGTAAATTATGCGAATATAATATGAAACCGATTTTTATCAAGTCAATGCTCTTCACATCCCTTATTCTTGTAAATAAAAAAATGAAAAAATCAATAGCAAGATACAACAAAAGTATTCTCTTATTATACCTTCTTAAAGATATGGTTGAATAAGAAGTTACTCGAAAAATTTAAGAATATTGAATAAAATAAATTTTAAAATAATATGAAATCTGCAACAAAACGTAATTGTGATGATTCGCGTAGTCCTCCATCACATTTAAGGGGACGTGAACTTGGTTTATATTATAAACAATTGTCCAAGGAAAAGAGGGCCGACGAAACAAGCAAGAAGGTTGTTGGAGGACGTATAATATTACCAGATGAATTTATTCAGCAAATAGAGGATCAACTAAATGCAATTGAACAAGAAAATTTATGCAAAAAAATTAATTTAAATTTTGAAACATATTTTAATGAAATTATTAATTCTTCATTCCAAGAATGTTTGAAAGAAAAAAGTCAAGAGCTTAAGGAATTAGTGCCATTTGGAACTTTTTCACCCCAGGATCATGTTGATAGAACTTTGACGGAAATGCATTTAAAATTACCAGTATTTAATTATTCAGAACAGATTTTAAAATCTTTATCAGAAAACACATTTGTTTTAATAAGTGGCGATACTGGTTGTGGAAAAACAACCCAGATACCACAAATAATTTTAGATGATTATATTAAGCGTGGTTACGGGTCTTATTGCAATATTATATGTACACAGCCTCGTCGAATATCTGCTATAAGTGTCGCCGAACGAGTAGCATTTGAGCGTTCTGAAAAATTGGGTAAAAGTGTTGGTTACCAAATTCGTTTGGAAAATCGTTTTCCACGTTCTTGTGCATCAATACTCTACTGTACGACGGGAGTTTTATTGCGCCGCCTTGAAACAGACCCATTGTTATCGAATGTTTCTCATGTAATTTTGGATGAAATCCATGAAAGAAACATTGAATCAGATATATTAATTGGGCTATTGAAACAAATAACAAAGTATAATAAAAAACTTAAGGTAGTTTTAATGAGTGCGACTTTTGGAATAGAAGATTTCGCAAAACATTTTAATGATAGTAATATAATCCAAATAGAAGGAACTTTGTTCCCTGTTAAAGTAAATTATCTAGAAGATGTTCTTGAAGAAATAAAATTTTTCAAATTTCCTAATCCTAAATCATTTTTGAAAGATAAACCTAAATACGTAAAGCATTTGAAAAGCACAAAAAATCAACTTAAAAAACAATCAGATTTTGAAGATTTTATCAATCCATACGCTCGAAATTTGAGAGGAGAGTACTCTCCAGAAGTTATTAAAGCTATACAAAATCCTACTTCAGAAGAGATTAATTTAGATATGCTCAAAGCGCTGGTTTTTTACATCGATAGCAAAAAGGACCCTGGTGCAATTCTAATTTTTTTTCCTGGATATGAAAAGATATCAAAATTTCATGAAATTTTAAGAACTTCCCAAAGACGTAGTCATATGTTGATATATCCATTACATTCTATGATGCCAACATTAGAACAAAAGGGTCTGTATACTAATTTTTGGACAAATTTTCAGTATGTAATTTACCTTGAAATCTTTAGGTGTGTTTGAAAAGCCACCAGACGGAATGCGAAAAATAATATTGGCGACAAATATAGCAGAAACTTCTATCACCATTGGTAAGAAAATCTCATTTTCAAATCTTTAATATAAAATCTTATATATATAAATTACAGATGATATAGTATATGTTATTAACACGGGAAAAGTAAAATATAAAGATTACAATATATCCCGAAATTATTCAACTCTTCAAGAACACTGGGTTACAATTGCTCATTCAAAACAAAGGCAAGGTAGAGCCGGTAGATGTCAACCTGGTATATGTTATAATCTTTATACAAAAGCAAGAGAGTACACTTTGGAAGAATATCCGCTACCAGAAATTTTACGATCCCGATTAGAACCCGTTATTTTAAATTTGAAAATGTTAAGAATTCACGATGTTAAAGAATTTATGTCAACTCTGATTAGTTGCCCACAAGAAGCTTCTATTGACAATGGTATAAAACTGCTGAAACGGCTAAATGCACTTGATGAAAATGAAAATATTACACCATTGGGATTACATTTAGCGAAATTGCCTCTTGATCCTCAAATTGGTAAAATGATTTTAATGGCCGCCATTTTCCAGTGCATTGATCCTATTACGTCTGCTGCAGCAACATTGTCCTTTAAAGATCCATTTTACAGACCAATCGGCAAAGAATCTGAAGTTGACAGAGCTAAGAATAAATTTTCTGAGTCATCCCAAAGTGATCATTTAACTTATGGCAACGTTATTAGTGAATTTAGAAAACACAGAAACAATTCAACATTTTTATATGACAATTTTTTAGCATTTTCAACATTAAATCAATTAGAACATATGAAAACCCAACTTTGTGAACTCCTTCATTCTGCGGGTTTTATAAATCATTCAGATCCACGAAATGAAATTTCAAATGCAAACTCTTCCAGAGATCATTTGTTGAGAGCAATTATTGCTGGTGGCCTTTATCCAAACGTCGCTGTGATAAGAAAAGTAAAGCAGTTAAAGAATCGTGTTACTCCTGTCATGCATATTGAGACTCCTGAAGATGGTGTTAAAGTCAAAATCCATCCATCATCAGTGAATTCAAAAGAAAGAAGTTTCGACTCGAAATTTTTGGTATTTTTTAATATACAAAAATCTACAGATGTTTTTTTGCATGATACAACAATGGTATATCCAATATCCCTATTGATTTTTGGAGATCAAGTCGCAATAAAAAGAGACGGTGTGGATGATAAAAAGTGGTATATTAATATGGCCAATAATTCTTATCAATTTGAGAGTAATGAGAAAACAGCTAAAATTATTTTAAAACTGCGTAATCGTTTTGATGTGCTTTTGAGAGATTTGGCTTTAAACCCTACTGTTATAAGTGACGATAAAGGAAGAGATAGAAATTTAATTGATGCTATGGTTATGATTTTAGCATATGAAAGTGGCAGTGAAGACAACTACGAGTATAGATAGTAAATATGAGAAAATAAACTATTTTAAACAAAAATATAAAAATTTTTATTTTACGGCTTTTAATATCTTGCTTTATTTTTTCTAATCGTTTTTTTTAAGTTTACTCCAAGTGCTTCCTTTTTTATGGTCCTTAATTTCAATATTTTCATTTTTAAGAACTTGTCTAATTTCATCGCTAATTTCAAATAAATTTTGATTTTTATCAAGTGCGGCTAACTGTCTTATATTGTATCTAATTTCAACTAATTTCTCAATCATGTTATTTAAGTTTACATCTTCTTGCAAGTTGATTATGTTTTCAGTTCGAGTATTAATAGAAAATCCCATTGTAGTCAAAATTTTCTGTACAAAACTTTTTGCAGCAGCCATCTCTACAATTGATGATGATGTATAGGATTCATTGTATGATTTAGAGATCTTGTTAATATCACTAACAAACTCACTTAAATGCCCAATACATTTTGATGTATCAAAATCATCTTTTAAAGATGTATCAATTGCATTTTTTGTTTTATGAATTCCTTTTAATATATAACTTGGCTCTATTTCTCCCATTTGTGTTTTACCATCTAAATAGGCCTGACAGTCTGACAAAAATGAATCAAATTTATTTAAAGTTGTTTTAGCCAAGATCATTAGCTCATCTGAAAATTCCATTGAATTTCTATAATTTGATAAAGCACAAGCCATTCGAAATTCATCTGAAGTATATTTTTGTAAAAGCTCACTAACATTAATTGTATTTTTCAAAGATTTTGACATTTTTTGCTCTTGGCCTTTTAAATTTAATTGACCTGTGTGCAACCAATAATTAACCCATTGATCTGTATTGTGATAACAACAGCTTTGGGCTTCTTCATTTTCATGATGAGGAAATTTTAAATCCAAACCTCCACAATGAAAATCTATTTTATCGCCAAATATTTTTGTTGCAAGGGCGCTGCACTCTATATGCCAACCCGGTCGCCCATTTGTTGCCGTTGTCCAAGGTGTAGTCCAAGCTGGCTCATTTATTTCTTTTTGAGCTTTCCATAGAGCAAAATCAATATTTTCTTTTTTAATTGAACATCCTTTGTACTCGTATAATTCGTCTTTATTCAAAAATTGTAGTTTACCATAATTTTTATATTTGTTTACATGAAAATACACTGAGTTATCTTGTCCAATATATGCTTGATTATATTTTAGTAGTTTCGAAATGAAATCAATGATATATGGAATATTTTCAGTAACTCTAATTTTAATGTCTGGTCTTTGTATTTTTAGACTTTTCATATCATTCCAAAATTCTCTTTCGTACATTTGAGAAATCGTTTGAGAATTTGTATTACACTCCTTAGCTTTTCTAATAATTTTGTCGTCAATGTCTGTAATATTCATTGCCGTGACTATTTCTATATTAAAATAATTTTTCAAAATTCGTTGAATTATATCAAGCTTCATATAGCAACTAGCATGACCAATATGTGTGGAGTCATATACAGTAGGTCCACAAGTATACCAAGATGTTACTTTATTGCTTTGAAGAATTAAAGGCACCTTTGTTTTAGTTATGCAATTATATATCTTAATTCCAGTATCGTAACCACATTTAGGCATGATCCACGATCCATTTTTAAATGTTCGTTTATTTTTATTTGAAAATGCAATACGGAATGAGGAATTGAAAATTCGAGAATTATAAACAATCATTTTATGCAATTTAATTTAAAATATCATTAAAATCATAATTCAATATTTTTTTACTGATAAAAAATTAATAAACTCTAATATTAGATCAATTCACTTTTTAATTTCTGTTGTCTACAATAATAACACCGACTAATAACAAAAACAGCTGATTACCTATGTACACGGTAAAATCAAAACAAAACAAATTTGTACACATGTTTTTGACACTTTAAATTAAAAGGAAAATCAAAAATTTTGCAGCGAAGCAAAACATCAGCAAACTGTCAATAAATCGTCAATGATGTTGATTATCAGATGATTTTTATTTACCTTTTATTTAGAAAAATTAATTTCCTATCGAAAAATAAAAAAATATTTCCTGAGAAGAATATAAATTAAAGATGAGCAAAATACCTCGGAATGCTTTGTCACTGAAGGAGGTTAGAAACTATAATAGCTTTATAATATTGGTTTTGAATAAATATTGTTGAAAATCTTTAGTTTATGTTACGTCAGGAGGTTTTAAAATTATATCGTGATATATTTCGAACAATCAGGCAGGTGCCTGATAAAAATAGTCAACTAGAACTAAAACAATGGGCTAGACATGATTTCCGAATAAATTCTATGCAAAAGGATGAACTTGCTATTAAAATGTTGATTCAACATGGAAAGCGATCACTTACCGAATTGAAAAATAGCTTACAATTAAGCGGCGTTGGCAAATTTTAATAATAATTATTTTTAAAGTAAATAACAAATTTTTTTTTTACTTATATAATTTAATTTCTATTTTATTTTTAGTAGGTACATAAGCTTGTGTTTTATTGTTATGATTAAATTTTCTAAATTGCAATTATTCCTTTTTGGTTTATGTTTTTGCTTTGATAATAAACTTCTGATTCTAAATTTTCCTATACATAATTATTTTAAGTTCTAAATTAAATAATATTATAGAGCTTCGTTATTAAAGAAGTTCAAATAAATTTCTCTAAAATCGATTTCCATAAAACTTTTAAAGTCCAACTAAAAAGTAGAAATGATCCTAAACTAGTTACTAAAATTGTTATTAAATCTCTCTTATTTCTCTCGGTTACTTTATTTATAAGCATGCTATTAATTATTGTGCTTGATATTTGATATCCGTCTAATCCGAAACATGGAATAGCGTTTACTACTGCTAATCCAAGGGAAAATACAATATTATATTTTAAAAACAACGATATTGTGTCTGCAAATCCTGGAGTAAATATATTTACTTTAGGAACAAACTGTGATACCTCTATACTACGTGAAATGTCAACAGGATGTCCAACAAATATTACGTCCTTTGGATTATTTTCACGTTTTATTGTAATTATTGCCGTTGTGTTTTTTAAGAGTGGTCGAATACAAAATCCTCGATCACATTGACTACTACAAAATGTACTTGAATCTTCAATAGTTTTACGAATATCCAAGCAAAGATGCTGAGGAATTTCTATTGGATCATCATTGCTTAAATCTTCGATATATTCAAAACAGCATGTTTTTTCATTCTTTGGATCGGCACAACATTGAATTACTCCATCAGGCCCATGATAAACACGGCTGCTTTCATCATTTATATGAATAAAATTTGATGAAACACAATATCCAGGTCTTGACCGTATGGATTTTATAAGGCAATCATACCACGAATCCATATCATATGTTTTACAATCATTTATATGTGTAATAATATCTTTCTCAAAAAGCCCTTTCTCACCTAGTAAAGGAGAATTTTTATTTATTGACGTTATTATAAGTGACTCATTGACTTGATAAAATGGTTTAGCTATAAATCCTAATGTAGAATAGATTAAATAACAAAATACAGCTAACAATATGTTATGCCATATTCCGCCACATAAAACTTTTAACTTTCGAAATAATCTTAAAGAGTTCATATGATCTGGACTAATGCGTGTAAAAGCAAATGGAAAACAAAAATATATCATTATTCCAAACCCCGAAACTGGAACATCTTCTAAAACAGCCGCTAATGCATGTCCCATTTCATGAAGAATAGAACATATTATTAATGTCGCTACATAAAAACCAATCTCTTGGAGAGGTAACGTAACACCTGGTAACAGAATTTGCATTTGTGGTATTGCTTGTGTTGATGAACTTGTAGTTGATGAACTTGGTACTTTTCCGCTTCCCAAATCCCATTTAAAAAGAGTCATTATTAATATAATTACGCTGATTGGTATAAGGGCTAAGGCAAAGAATACGCCGATGTTGAATGAAAAACTCAATAATTTACTGGAAGAGCCCCATCGGAACATTGTGCGATTAAAAGCTGTAGTATGCCATTTTATACGTAAAAATTGCACTGTTAAACCTGTTTTATGTAAAAACGAATGGTAAGGATAATGCATACAGCTCTAAAAAAAGAGTAGAAGTTATTGAACTATTGTTTACAAAAATGAAGATCCACCTTTTACTTACTTTGAAAAACATGTCGAAGAACGACATAACACAATATATTCCGAATAGGATAGATAAAAATATTATTGGATCCATATTTTTCAATCAAACTCTAAGGTTACGAAGTTTCATTTATTTTTATTTCCAATTTCCTTAAGAATTACATTATCGTTTTCAATCTTATTGGTTTTAATATTTTGTCGGCGTAATATTTTAAAATTTTTAATTAAAAAAAAATATACACGTTATCTTTTATCAAGAAATTAAACAAAAAACAAAAACAAATGCAATTTTCCGTCTCGCATTCTTTTAATTGTCATTTTACCTGCAGTACATGCGATTTCAAAAATTTTATTTTGTCAAAATAATAAATGAAAGATTTTCAAACTTTATTTATTCTAATTAATGCAGATTAGTCGAGTCTGAATTAATCAAATTTTTACTAACCATAAAATTTTTGTTTTACATTATGTCGATATTTCAATTATTTCTAAAAACTTTCTTTAAATATTTTAGCCGCTTGATATAGAAGTGACAAGTATAAAATTGCCATAACAGTTTATTGCCAACATATGCGCAAATTATTCAAATTTTTTTATGAACATATACATATTAAAAAAGATTTCATAGAAAAAGCTGATTTGCCTTTTGAATATTTAATTGTGGTTCAAAAATATATTAAGTAAATTGTTTTGGTACAGTATTGCAAGGTAGAACAAGTACCAGCTGAATATAAATGTTGTTTTCAAAGCAATAAATTTTACAAAGTTTGCAATGCGAATTTATTTTATTATTTGGCACAAATTACACAATATTTTTAAAATACTTACAATTGTGTATAAATTTCTTAACCATATTGTTGATCGAAGGCAATAATGAATTTTTATGTTTCTTCGTGTTCTTGTTTCTGCTCAAGTAGCAATATTTTCATTATTTAGTATACCTACACAAAAATTTAAGTTATTTTAACTAATGTGGCATCTCTAATCACAGCTGTTTTCTTTTTATTTTTTTGTTCTCTTTTTATTTTGTTTTTTTATTTTTATTTTTTGTTATTAATGGCTTTCAAATATTTCAGTTATTGTCAATTTCAGTTTGTAAAATACTGTTGCTTATTAAGGTTATTTACGGAGCGGAAAAATAAATATTTAAAAAAAAAATAACCATAGCAAAAATAATTATAAAATAAAATATTTTATTTAAAGTTATTTTTATAAATTTTTTATAACAAATTATAAAAAATCAATATTAATTAATAAAAATTGATAATAATTAATAAAACTAAATCAAGCTTATTATAAAATTTAGTTTATTCTTTATAATCTTACAAAAAATAATAATCTAAATTTATTTAAAATACACTTCGTAACTACATACATATGAATGTGTACATTGATACATATACATACATATACAATAAAAATGATCTTAATTAAAATAAATAATTAATTTAAAATAAAGAAATTAAAATTATATGTTATTAAAAAAAAAAACATACTAGTTATAAAAAATTTTAATTTAATTAAAATTGTTAAATAAGAAAATATAATATGTTTAGTATCTATGTACTTACCTATACTTAACTACATAATAAATAAAAGAAAAAAAGATTAAAAATTTTGCATTTAAAAACATTTTTAATACCTACATAATTTTGGATAAGATCCAAGGATTTTTACGAATATAATTTGTAAGTGTGTAAACAGATATATATATATATATATATATGAAATTATAGTTTTTATATGTTATCTACAGAATGTTTTGAAATTTTTATTTAAAATTAGTATTTTAAAATTAGAAACGATTTAAAATCCTTTACTGTTTTTCATCATCCTAATTAAAATAATACTTACCTATAAATAATTTATTAAATATTTAACTATTCCGTTTCTTATGTGAATGGCTTATTTTGAAATTGGCCTAAGTTGTACTCGTAATTGAAATTTTATATTCTCGAATAGGAAAATAAATACTGTATAAAGTAAATAATTTGTAAATCGAATTTTTAGTTACATACTTTACATTATAACTTATTTAATATTATACCAAGCAATATATTATTTTTAATTAGAATGGACTTAGATTACTTTCAAAATAAATCATCCATATAAAAGAAGTATACATATTTATTTAATTGTTAAACAAGAAACGAGTAATTTAAAAAAAAATCTGGACAAATTGTTCAATATATTTTTTGGGTTTTTAATACGTATATAGTGATTATACGAATAACGAAGGTCTATTCTGAAGTTTTTATTCTATTAAACTTCAAAAATTTTACAAATTAATTTGTTATAACGTCCTATTAAATATATATTGTAATATATAAAGTGTCTAATATAAATAGATCCTCCATAATGTTGGAAGTTATGTTATAGCTCCCAATATTAAGTACGACATTTTAAAACCATTTTGTATAAATTGGGTCAGATAATTAGGTACAGGTATTTGTTTAATAATAGCGTTTTATAATATTAATCCCATATTTATGATATTTTATTATTCTTATTCCTATTTATTGTAACGATTAATTAATGACGCAATCGTTATATTTTTTCGTAACAATTTGTTTTTTTTTTTTTTTATTAAAATTTACATGCTTTTAATTAAATATTAATGTAAAATTAAGATTAATTGATTTGCGCAATTATATTTTGACGATAATATATACTTTATTTTTTTTAACTTATAATGGTTATGCATGTGTAAATAAATTTGAAAATAACGGCCAAATTATTTATTTTTAATAATAGAACATGATAAAAAATATTATGCTATCTATGTTTATAAATATGTTATACATGTACTACAATACATATATATTATATACATAAATACCTATACTATGTTACAATGTTTTATTTATAGACATATAAATATTTTGTTATAATTTCAATCAACAACAGGTTAAACACGTGCTTTATGTAAAATCCAAATAAAAATCAGAGTTGAATAAAAAAACGAAAAAGAAAAGATAACGTACAATAACATAAAAAACGTAAAAAACAACGGTGTAAAAGCTAAAAAATCATTCGAACAAAAAGAGCGAGACAAAAGTATATGTTGTATAGCAATATATCTATGCATGTATGTATATATATGTATCTAAATTGCAAAAATTATAACACATATATATGTTAAGTATCTATATTATATCCTAATATTTAGTTAAATTGCATTGAAAAGGATAGGTACTTAATTTCGCCTTTAAAAGTAACCTTAATTTTCCACTATTAACTACCTATATACTCGTAATAATGTAATGAGTAAATTAAAACATAATTAAAAATGTAGAGAAAAAATTAATAAATAGTTTATAAATAAATTTTACTGTCGATTATAATTAGGGTTTTGTGTATTAAATTCTTACATATATCGTCTATTTTTGATATAGAGGGCGTAAGTATTAAATTTTTGACGTAACACTGAGAGAGAATTTTCGATCCTATAAAATATATTTATAAGAATATTGAGTAATATACATTCATCAGATTATAATATAATCTTTTTTATATAAATGTTTGTGAGTTATTTGATCTTATTACAACAAAAAATGGTAGTCCTCGAATTTGCCACAGACGAATATTTTCATGTCACACAGATTTGTATCGAAAATAAGAAATTTTGCGTTACACCAACAGAGTTTTTGCAATACAAGATCAGTTTTTAAGTATTTGCTTTTACAGTCAAACTGAATAATACTCGTATGTGTATACTTAATCATACACCCTTAATATTTAAAAGTACTTCATAATTTTTATTGTAGATCTTTGTTACATATTTCTCTTTATGATCTTTTTAGTATCACAAAAGTGATTCTGACTTCATATACAAAATGTAAATGTTAAATAGTTTAAAGAGATTGCATATAATTATAGAAAATAACATCTAGTTTTATAAAGGATCTGTGCGATTAAATTACTATATTTAGCCTTCTATTACTATTGTGAGCCACTACCAACGCAGGGAATGATAAAGTGTACTTATATAATATACCCATACTTATAGTTATTCAATACAAATATTTTGTTTTTTTTGATAAGAAGTTACTAAATCGAGTCCTACTGGTTATCGATTTATGTTATACGAGTACTAATGGTTTAAAATAAATTTTTAAATTATTGAATACAATTTTAATTTTAATTTAATGCTTAAATTATTAAAATTTAAAATATTTATTATTTCTCATTTCTTTATTCTTTTATACTTTAAGTATTTTAATTTTTATAAATGTTTTTAAAAAGAATTTTTGGCAAACATATGAGCATTTAATTCATCATCTTGTTTAAAAATTTAACATGTAGACATGTAAATGTTTTCAGTTATCATTTTTCTATTTAATTAGAAAATTATAAATTAATTTAATTTTATTTAATGATTAAATGATGATAAAAGTGATCCCATTTTATTTTTTAAACGTAAAAAATATCTAAATACAATTTAGAATTTTTTTGCATTGTTGCTTAAATAAAATTGAAACATTGTAATTTATATTTCGTATGAATTTACTTTTGTGTTATACTATATACTATATACTTATTACAGATATACTTACGTATATATTAATTACTTTTCTCTTTGATGCAATTTTTTTAATTTTAGAATTTTATTTTTAGTTGTTTTTTATTTCTTTTATAAAATTTTGCTAAGTATTACATATTTTATATTATGAAATTATTTTATTTAATTTTGTTGTATTTTTATAAAAGAATGCTGATATATTATATAGATCCTAAAATACATTAAATATTTGTACATATAATACGTAAATTTATTGTTAAGTACATAGTTGAATGTCCACTTTGATCGAACAATAAATTTAATTGACTGTTTCTAGCAAAAAATTCTTGAAAAACCCTTTGTTTTAAAAAAAAAACTATGAAGGTTTCTTAAATTATTTTCAAATAGCAATTTTAAATAGAATATAATATGTATTGTATATATTAAAGATAACATTATAAGATAATATGAGTTTTTAATTTAATTTAAATAAAATGTATGTAATTAAGAGAATGGAAATGAAGTTAAAGGAGATTTCAATATCTCGGATTTACTTACTTATATTAACTTTTAAGAAAAATGCTATTATTTATTTGCAATGATTTTTTGTAAAAGTAGAATAATTATAATTATATAAATTTAAAATATTAAAATTGTATACCCATATTATTTATTAATTATATATGCTGGTATACATACACATACTCGTAGTTTTGTATAGATCGAATTTTGTGTTTTGTATATATTTTATCACGTGAAAATTCTTGGCATTAAAAATAATTTTCATATATTTTGAAATACGTAATATAAATATGATTACCGTAGTATAGTATATATGTATATATACATGTATGTACATGCATAATTATGTATCAATGTAGAAATTCAAAAGAAAAATGAGGTTGATGAAAATATATATACACACATGTATAAACATTCCGACATATGTTATGTATGTGCCTTAAAATTTTTTCTTTTATTATCTTATAGTTTTTTTTTTTTTTTGTCTTAAAATTGAAGATAAGTAATTTGCGTCAGGTGTAGTTATTAAAAATTTCTCTTGTAAATATTTTTATAAGTGTATAGAATGCCAGAGAAATTCATAAATAAAGAAAAAATCGTCATAGAATTTAAAAAAAGAACTAGATATTAATTGCCAATAATTGTATGCATAATAAATTAATACAAAAATTATTTTAGTTACATACACATATACATATATACATAATATATTGCTGAAAATAATTGAAAAAAAAAAAATAATGTTATTTTACCTTTGAAATCATTTAGTCAAAAAATACAAATTTAATACTAATTTTTGTATATGAAAATGCTTTGATATTTTTCTTTTAAATATAAAAAAAAAAAAAATATTTATGCCAAATTTTTTAAATTGAATTTCTTCTTAATTCAATAAAATTTTTATATGTATACATTGTACATATATATATATATAAAAATAAAATTGTCTAAAAAATAATCTAGGAATATTATGTACATATATATAACTGTAACACTGCAATTTATGTAATCTGTAAACTCTTGTACAGATTAAAATTATATTATTTAATTGGGATGCTACTGAATTGGGATGCTTAATCAGTTAGTTAAATCGAATACAACAAACAACATAACCAAAGCACTACATTTTTTTTTTTACAATTATTGAGTAAATGTAAGCCTTTTGTAATTGTAAAATTTTCATCAATTTGTATACAAGATGTTTAATCCTTTTTTATTTTCCGAAACAAAACTTACACGCACATCAATTAGATGCTCTTTAATTTTACAAACATATTAGGTAATTTTCATCTACCCCATAAAATTATATGCTTTTAAAATTTTTAAATAAAATTTTTGTAATAAATTTTTATACTGAACTGCTAAGTTGTTATATAAATTTTTTAAAAGAATAAAAATAAAATTTGTAATTTATAAATTTACATAACCAGGAAAATTTAGTATTTTAATCATTATTCATTAATATTATGCTTATACTAATGCTTATGGGTTGCAGTTTCCACATTTCGAAATACGAATTAAAATGAATGTGTTCGCTTCTACCTTTATTTACACTTAGCTTATGCAGATTTACACTTAGTTTATAAGTGATTTTATGTATATGAATTGAATATCATCTACACGATCTATCATTTTATAACAGTGTGGGGTATATCATATATTAAT